GATCTAAAGATCAATAAGTAATGACGGCATTAACACCTTTTAAATATTAGTGTTATATTTACCTTTATCCAATTCTGCCCCAATGGAGTTTTCAGCACTCTCACCGCTGTGATGCAAAGTAACGATTTTAAAGTTATTGCAAACATTATGAATACTTACTAATTTGTATATGCGTATGTAATGAATTTGGTCCATTGCGTTTAATAACACGGGGAATGAGAAATTAAAAAAAAATTGGAACTACTTGGATTTACGAATATAATTATGACACAAATCTGTTAGAAGTCATTTATCAAACTACAATGTATTTGAAAAGATTTAGATTTATAAGATGAAGATATTTTTCCAGGCACATTGTAATCTTATATATAAAGACCGCACCGAACCAAAAATATGTTAACTCGATTCTCAAATATTTTAATGTAAAGGTTTTATTTGACAGCTATAAAATTTCCGTATATATTCAGTTATCATAGGTAATACTTACCATATGCAAAGTACTGCAATTTGCATGATCAGCAGAAGCTTCAAAATCTTCGACGCCATTTTTTCTTCTCGCGATATTTTTCTTCGTATAAACATCGACAAAAGTGACTCTGTACGATCGTAGCGTGCTCGCTTTATATGCTGAAATTATTTCCGATTCGTGTAATTTCAATATAGCAATTAAAACCTTGAATATAATAAAATTAATGAAAAAATATTCTGATGTCATGAAAATCTAACAACCTCCATATGTACCGTTTCCATCAATTGCATTTCTATGAATTTGAAACAGCGAAATTTTATTTTATTTTTTATTAAATGGTAATCTTCTAAGCGAATTGCGTATAACGTATTTTAGCGTAAAGATTGTTTCCATGAATTTCAAAATGCTATCATTCTCAGATTTTGATGCATGCAATGCGCAATTAGGGATTTCATAGAAATTGAAGTGCCATACTTCAGTGCGTAGCTCCAAAATTTACAATCGGTATTAAATGAGGCAGGCCAATTAGGCAATGACAAATCTGTTCATTTTTATGGTAATATTTTTAAATAAGGTTTTGTGAGCAGAGGAATTATATACCCGAAATTTGTTACCAAAATAGCAGTTTTCATGAGTTCTGAATATTTGAGACAACATATAAAAATGAACGGAGTAAAATGATACCTGAATACATTTTTTCCATAACATTGTGTAGCTTGGTTCGGTCGCTTTAACGCTCTATTGATCAAATAGATTACATGGAATACATGTCTATAAGATGTTCGACTATGCATCAATTGCATAGTCTATTTCGTTTAAACACAAAAATTTGTCACAATAATAAAAAATTCACTATGCGACTTAAATCATTATTAGTGAGTGACTCGTTTTATCATCTAGTGTAGTCTATCCATTAGCACGAGAATTGAACTAACAGACACTACTATGAATACTATGAACCATTTATTTTCTTTTCTAACTTCCTACCGGTATTTGTAAAGTATTTCAGATTATCAAGTTGGTATTTTCCATATGGGAATAGATTATTTTCTAAATATTGACGTTTCAAAATGATCGAAGAAATATTCAATTAATTTTTGCGGGGAGTATTACCAGCAGCTCATACAAATGTTTTTGAAAGCATGTTATATGCATTCAGCAGTAATAAAATTGTGCACCAGGACGAAGCTTACCAGGGCTGAAATGAAGCATACCTGCTGTTTCAATTCATCTTATGTGATACAATTGTTATTTCGAATTTAGGGGTCAAATTTGGCCAACGAGTAAAATTAGTCGTTGACTTATTCGATATAAATTGGACAAATGATTTTGTTTAACATAATAAGATGGCTATGACATCACATTCCTTCCAACTTTATTATCTAATGATAGTCAAAATATGAACAGAAAATATAACAAGTGCATCTTAATCGTGTGGTTTTTGTAATAAATAATTATATCTCGAGGAGCAAGTGATGATTCATATTGCGATGCTCGCCAAAATAAATTGACGTTAATATGCTGGACTAGAGCTACGATTTTCACCGCAATAAGAACGATTTTCTGCTCTTTATTAAATAGATTATTGCTTTTATATTGGTAGTAAACACTTGGTAGTCAAAATTAATAAGAACTGCGTGAAAATTGCGTAAATATATAGACCTAAGCGCGCAGATTACATGTTGGTTGTTAAGAATTATAGTGAATGCAGTTTCAAACACGAACAAGTTATTTGCAATCAAGATGCAATCGATAATATCTGATTTAATTAATGTTAGTTTAAAAATCTATAGCATGGCCTGATTTCGAACTTTTCCATGTATTATTTAAATTTTTTGTAGGCAACTTTATTCGCTGAATATAAATGACATATTATTTATGATCAATTTTTTACTTTATACATCCTTTTATTGGAATGAATATTGACTAAATAATTCACTGTAACTATAGCGTGAGTGATCGCATGTTGATTTATTGAATGAATTCCTAAACTATTTCTGATTATCAGTTGGCATTAGCCATACGGAAATAGGTTGAATATTCCATTCAATAAATGGAAATATCCGACGTTTTGAAATTTATCGGAAGAGTATTCAATTAATTTAATTTTTACAAAGAATTTTACCAACATGCATATATGGCTATAGATTGGGTCTAATAAAAATAGTACGATAGCTATACGAAAATATATTATGATCGGGAACTTTCCTCGAAATAGATGAACATATTTTCGCTATTTTGTAAACTAAGTTTCGTTTTAAACGTATTTTTCTCATTTGATACAGTCTATTCATTGGAGAGAATGCTGAATATTTCACTGTAACTACTGATTGATTTTTTTAGTGACTTACTACCGTTATTCCTAAGGTGATGGTATTTTCCATATGGGAATTGATTACCTTTTTATTCAATAGATGATAATATCTAGTTTGATAAAATTTATCAGAGGTGAATTCGATTAATTTTTCATAAAATATGTTACCAGCTAGCATAAATGTTCAATGATTGCATCTATCAAAAATTTTATTAAGAAATCGACATTGCGCGATATTGAAAATGGATGTCCGTGTCTGGAATGAGTTACACATTTGGTATAAATCCTCAATTTTGCAACTAAGTTTTTTTAAATATTTGATTTTAAAATATTTTAAGTACTCCCTTCAAAACCCAACACGCGAAAAATTCTAGCTAAAATTTTTTGTTTGATATTTTACTTCCGTTTATTGAACATATTTAATTAAAACAAACAGAAAACATTTTCAGAATTTTTTCCTCCCTACTCAAAAGTGTCATATATGTCACTGTGGGCATTGATGTCCACGAAAGCTTCATTTAAAATGTATGAAAAGACACAAAACAATTTATTTTTTTGACAGAGCCATGCATTTGTAGCATTGGGTATTGAGTGGATGTATTTGCAGTATATATCTACATTTTCACAGATATGGGCCAATGGGTCAATGTGCATGATTAACTTGACGAACATTCGCACCCGGAATTGGTCCCACTGCGTTTTGCGGTATTTATCTGAACAAGTGCGCATGCAAAAGCAAATTGAAAATGCCTTCTTTTCATCATCAGAGGCACCTCATTTGTACGAATTCTCGGCGGTATCGATCATTTGCAAACTTACGAAAACAAAATACCAAAATAAATATATATATATACAATCTTCCGAACACCATCTTAAATCTGTATTTGGTGGAAAACGAGCCTAACTTGTCTATTCCTCCCATGAATGCATTAAATTCCTTATAAATTGCAGGCATTGTTACATCTAGGTATTTTTTTCTCTCTTGTGCCATCTTTTGATGGTGCCGACGAGTTCCACCCCAATATACGAGTATAAGAGAATTACTTCTCTGTTATCATACCGAGTCACTGCGGATGTTTTACTAAGATCTTCAACGCTATAATCATAAGCACCTTTTCCTCTTTTATTTTTGTCCTTCTCATTAGCAATTTTTGTGTTTCCAATTCATTTTTGAGCACCGTGCCGACGTTATGTTTTCCACCATCCATATTTTGAATCCCCAGGAATAAGGTCTACTTTTTATAAATTGTCTGATGGGGCTTGTTCGTTCTTTATATTGACACATGATTTCATTTACGGAATTGTATTCTTTGGGTATACGATTTTTAAACAATCTTCTTTATCCAGGACCTTATTTTCTACAGTTTTTCATTCTTTCTATTTCCGTCAGTCACTGAATAATTGTCGACTATGTGAATATTTATGAGCAGCTGCTGAAACCTATTCCTGCTCATCACGCTACCAACAAGTGCATATGATGTGGATCTTTCCCAGTACATACGTACATTCGGCATTTGCACAAGACCCGTGTGAAGAAGATCCCGATCATTTGCTTGAGTAATTTTTTGCTGTTTCAATAATCTCGCAATCTCTTTGTACATTGTTTAAATTGGTTCGCTCAGCCAACAATTCAAACATTTTGGCAGGGAAGAATTCAACAGTGTGAAATATTTGATCAGCATTCGCTTTATTGAATAGGCTTCTATATTAGTGAGACTGGGTATTTAGAATCTAAAGTAAATTATTCGAATCAGTTCAGATGCAAATTTTCCCGCTCCTTTTTTATCTATCCAACAACGTTCGAGGTGAATTTCACAATTTTTTTTATTAAAGCCATATTTTAAAAGGCAATTCGGATATATAACTCGTTTTTCTTAGTTAGTTATCACTGAAAACTGTTTTTTATTGTATTTGAACGCTCAGCAAACCAACTGAGTGATGAATTTTTTGTTTTCCGTAATTCATGTATCTGGAGGAACCATTCCAGTAAAAGATTCACTTTTAATTACAAGTATTCGTTATTCGATTCTGAAATCGTCAGGCATTCAAAAATGCCTATTCTTAAGAGTATACGTCATCTATACTCGTAGCATGAAGTTGCCTACAAACAATGGGGTAACAATGGCACAGAAGATCCCACACTTCCCGGTAGCAGCACATGGGCAACGACAGGGCTAAAGACGAACATTCCCGTGGCCTTGTTTAGTACAAACTAAATTTCATATTTCTGCATAATTTTTCTTCTATTACCAATACATGGTATACATCCTCAAGTATATTAGTATAACGCAAAATTTAGAGTCACATAATAAAAAATTACAAATTATATGCAGTGCTTAAGAAAGAGCTAAGTAACCGGAGATGAATTGGATTTTGAAATAACGTAAAACTAAAAACCAGTGTTTACGTAGACTTTCCCATTGTCTAAGGCATACCCGGATTTTTCTTTAGAATTTCCCCCTGGTGATTTTATCGCCATCAGACCCAAAAATATCATAAAGCTTGCCAAACAAATCACAAGAACAAATTGCACATACAGGGCAACTATGGTATCGGTGAAAGTCAGATTTATAGCAAGAAAAGAAATATAATATTCTTCGATATCTTCTTGTGCTTCTTCGGTTTCTAGTAGACAGTGGTCAATATTATTTCCAATGCAGGCAGCATATCTGAATGAACAAAAATGGTTTTTGATTATATTTATTTACCAGTTCTTTGTTATTCAATATATATCTATTGAGTTTGATATAAATAATACTATTTCTATTTTTTGTCACCATTTTCTGTATTCAGCAATGCATGAAAACGGAAAATGTAATTGATTATGCAAATGATATTTCACTATTTGTTCACCTCATGACGTGTGGAATATAGTTTTGTTCGTGTACTCCTTGGAACAAATGGGCCATGGGTCCCGAGGCTAGAATCGCTACGTCATCACCTCCATGTGACTCACTGGCATGTGGCACTGCGGATTGTTGACGGTAAAGAAACGAAGCTGTTAGAATAATAACAACAAGTGTCTGAAAATTTGGAGACAAATTCAACAGTGTTATATATTAACAGTGTTATTCTATTAATGTCCAAACCTCAAACGACCGGCAAATTCATCAATTTTGCAGTTTTTACCTGTGTTGACTTCACTTAAATTTTGTCTAGGTCTGATTGGTAGAGTTGGAAATCCTTGGTAGCCAGGACCATTTCCATATAGCAACGAAGTGAATTGCTTTCCGTCAGATGCAAGGGATTTATAGTCAGGCGAACGTACGGTGCCTGTTTAAGTCGAAACAACATACATGATTCATTATTCGTAGAAATGATCGGAAGGTACAGGTTCTGAAAACTTCAAAGGGGCACAGCCTAAGACTGATTTGTTCATAATAAGTGTAAGAAAATAGAAAATACTAACGGTATATTCAGACTATATTTATTGTACTAAGTGGTCGTAAAGTAAATCAGAAATGTTTGGTTTCAGAGTTTCACGTGTTTTCATTTTACTATTGGTAATTAATTTGCATAATTTGTTTTCATATACCTCAAAAACACATGTTGGGCACTATTGACTCAATTGACACCATTTAACAAAATGTCCATATTATTCTTTCTAGGATAAATCGAAGAAATTACCAAATATCGGATTTCCTCGGAATGTGTATCCACCAAAACTCATGACATGACTGTGATCAGCCGATACTACTATTAACGTATCACTTTCGGATGTTAACGACATTGCTTTTTCAATCGCATCATCGAATGCCACTGTGTCATATAAAGCCTCGGCTGCGCTGTTGTCGTGATGACCTCTGTCTAAGGGTACAATGTCAATTATTAAATAGCTTGTTTATAAAAATTTTCTTGTTACACAAAAATGCCAGATTTGTCTTGTTTCACAAACATATCAAATTACTACCGATGAAGTGTTGTGATGAGCATAGTTGGTATTTTCATAACATTCGGAATCCTGGCTCATTTGCATAGCATTAGACATAGTAGCTTTAAGCACAATTATCTTCAGGACACTTTCTTTCGAATCAATTTTCTTACCAATGTTTCCCCCTTCCACAAATAAGAAATATCCATTTTCATTTTTACGCAAAATCTCGATTGTCTTTTCCGTCATTTCAGCAAGAGAGGGCTCGTTGTCCGGGTTGCGGAATATTTCGTAGTTCATCCCCGAGGGCTGAAATAGACCTTAACATACACAAAAACAATTTCAAAAAACGTACAAAGAATTTCTACATCAGTAAATTTAAAATAGTTGTGCTATATTGCATCAAATTTTTCTATGTACTCACTTTTGTAAGATTCCGAATTATACAAACAGTGTTTTCTCAGAAAACCCTTGTGAACACTACATCAAGGATAAACTATAAGTTAATATGCCGTATATCTCAGGAAAGACAGGTCTCGGAACTGTTATTAAAATGAACCAAAACTAGAGCACACGGTGATGATTTACTATGCTTGATCTTCTCTGTCGGGGTCTTAGAGAAAAAAACCTCCATCACAGATATTTATAGACTTTTCATTCTACTACTGACTGCCTGATTGTGTATAATTAAGTATAGTAATTGTTCCGCCTTACCAAGCAATCTGTCAGTTTTTACAGGATCAATATCGTCAAATAATGTTTTGTTAAAAACATATTGTCTGTTCTCGTCTACATCCGCATTATCTAACCACTCTTGAATTAAATCTCTTTCGTCTCCCCTCTCTCCTGGAAATAAAGGCATTTCTTCGTCCGGAACTGAGGGCGGTCGGAAGTATTGACGACCACCCCCAAGCGCAACCTGTAAATATGTATATTATGATTATTGGGCAAAATATTCATAATCTGTCAGTGAACTCCAGTCTATGAATACGAGAATGAATGTAGAGTAATATTCGAGGTCAATTTCGATTTGATATAGATAATTTGAATTGCACTCTTTAGGTCTTTTCTAGGATGATGTTTGTATTTTAACTTAAATTTTTACAAATCCCCAACACCAAATATAGATTTGAAACTGGCTGTTAACCATTTAAACTGACTGACGTTTCTCGCGCGTATTTACCGTATCATATTTGATGCTTCATAAAACTGTAAAGCAATAATCTTTTGCAGCCCTCTACTTTACTTTGCGTTCTGATTGTCTCGTGTCGCTTGTACCATTGACGTTCGGGAGTATGTGCATATGTTCCGGCAGGAGATGCATGCGTGATATGAACTGTAGATATTATCCCTGTTGATTTGCTGTATAGTGCAAAAAGTATATTGCTATAATTCTAATACTTCTCTCCAAAAATGAGAAGACTTGATAGGAGTGTTCTAAGAATAGCAATATTTCTGAACTCACCCACCGCATTAATGCGTCGATTCAATACCGAGTTCCACTTCAATTTCCTTAACCGGATTTGCCAATTACGGGTCCTTTTGACTCCTCCACTCAAACCGATAGTTCCATGTTTTGATTTAACTCCACACAAATATGCAGTTGCTGTAGCTGCCGAGTCGGTGGTTGTCTATCCACAGAATATGTCTAGATAATGATTCGCAGATAAATATTTATTTTTATATCTAGTTTATAGACCTCCTGTCTTAATTCATCGCCGCAACTTCAGTCTATCTCGTTTATGACTGCGTTTGTCGTTTCGTTACGAATTGTGGTGGAGTTTGTTACATTATATACATACACAGTTACGAATATGCTGTGTATGTCAATTGACGCAGTTTATTACGGACATATACAGTGTCATAAAATGGCTATTATAGGTATATTTGCTGTGTGCGGACGTATGCAGGTATCGTCATTCTTCGATGCCGCAATTATATCCGAAGTTGGTCGTTTTGAATGAACGCAACTTTATTATTTGATTTGATAGTTTACCATTAAAAACAAAACTATTGACATTGTATTTCCGTTAGGGATTGGGCTATATTACCAAAGAATATTAGGAAGGGACAACACCAATGATATAGTCGGATTGGGGGAATACGAGTAATAGGTCGAGTCGAATCTTTCGATTCGTTGACTTCATAATGGAAAAGACAAAAACCCGTTTTTCCCTGCGTAGCATCACTGCACTCGCGTCCACGTAATTTGTGTCTTGTATTGCTAACCTATGTCGTAGGTAGCTGATGATCTCGAAGTGTTTCCGTTTTGAACTTGAAAGTTAGGTCTCAGTTGATAAGCAATTTGTAGTTATGGTGCTTGTAACGTATATTGAAAGTATAATTCTCCTCCCCTGGGTTAGATTCTCAAGCAAAAGGTGGATAACTTGGGGTTCAATATGGTCGTAGCCGTAGTCTAAGTAAACCATATAGTCAGTTGCGCATATTTCAATCGATGGATAAACCGTCATACGTTTATTGAAATAGAAAAGACTTGTGATTTCGAACATCAAAACTATGATGATATAGTGATAGGAAAAAGCTGCTGCCCTTCTATGGACCCATGCTTTGAAAGTTTGGTGTCAAAGCTGAAAGGTAACTAGAACGTCAAATCTGACAATACCACAGACTAGTCTCTAATTTAAACGATTAAGTTTTGGAATGACGTATTGTTATTCGTTTTATCGAACAAAGGTCGCATATGCATAGTTTCGTTTGCGCACGAAGTTAGCAGCTCCAACCATTATTATTTTACGAACCTTATCCCTCTAAACACGTGAAGTGTTTGAACTTTTACTTACAAAACACCGCAGGAACTTTACACCATATCAAGCCTTATCAATGTCTGGCTGCATAGCAAATAAATGCAATATGTATATTATGACCCATTAAGTACAATTTGTATCTCTTCATAACGTACAATTTCTTGACATATTATTGTCAATCACAATACCTTTGAAAGGCCTGTATATGGTAGTTTATCCATTCCCAACACGTATTCTTCTCCCGTTTGATTTTTTATTTGACCTTTTAGTATTCGGCCAGCAGTTATAGTTGATATGCTCATACCATCACCTTTATAAACATATATTTCATGTAATTTGTTGAAAGTAATTATATTACTTGCTATCATATACCTAATTGATATTTTTCTTATTTGTTAGGTAAAAACTGATTTACAATTATTTCAATGACCAAAATATACGTACCCAAAAAGAAGATGATATTTTTTGCGACTAATTTATTTAAGTTTTCTTCCTCCAGCGCTTTCTTTAGATCATTCTGTGCCAAATTATTCCAATATTCAGCAGTTTCTTCTTCATCTAGAAGAAAAATGTAAATAAATAAATAATTAATCAAAACTTTTTCAGAAGAGTGATTTATCTTGGTGTGATGAGAAACTTGCAGATTCCATTTCATCTGAAGGTTCCTCAGGGCTCAATTTTTGAAGCAATAATGTTCCCAATTGTCGATCAATCGTTATATTAACTCTGATACAGCTCAATGCTGGAATAAATCCTGCACTAATCTTCGTGCGGTCAGTTTCACCATTTCTAAGCATTGTGCCAAATATTGTTACGTCCTCGCACAGAGTATAACTGCCATATTCTGGCTGGTTCTCCTGTGCCTATACTAAATCTGCCACACCGAATCCAGGAAAGAATATCGAATATAATTGCCGTTCGAACTGCAAACAAGTCGCAACTCTCTAGTAAGAGTTACGGTTGACTCATCCACTCAGATTTTAATACATTTTTATCCTAGAGTGTGGTTACCCAAATCGTTGACATTTTGTTAGTATGGGGTAAATCGAATATATTTTTGGGTGAGCTACCTTGTGAAATGCGACTTAGTTCAAGATTCTTCCGCGTTGGCAAAAAGGAATTAATGCTGTCGAAGAGTGACTTCACGAAGCTTGTTTCATCAATGCCACGGCAGTAGTTACACGATCGCTTGCTCATTGATGCTGAAAACTAAATATTTGGGACCAGAGTTTGATCTCAGGGCATCTGCGAACTCAATTAAGGGTTTGTCTAACCCCAAATCGATAGCCTGTACGTACCTGTAGACGTTCCATCTTACTTCCAGCTTACCCACTGGAAATGGGACTTTTATATTTATGCTGAGAATGGAAAGGCCGAGGAAAAGCCGTTGCACTAAACTTGACTAAAGTATTTAAGAGCAGGGCTACTCAACTGGCGGACCGCGGTCCGAATCAGGATCTTTCGAGTATTAAATTTGGACCGCAGCGGCTTCTTGACTTTGAATGCATCGCTCCTTTTAATTTCACAATTGTGATGTAACGCATTTTTTGCTAAACCACTGAGAAAAAATTGTCATAGCAATATACAGATATAAGTTTCTACCACTTGTTTGCTCCCCTAGCATTGGAGAATCAGCAAGATGTCAATAGTGGCGTAAAAATGAAGTTTCAGCGTCTGCTTGGATACATTTTTACAAACTTTTAAACAATAGATTGTTTTTGGGGTTTGCATGCTACCGTATTCGTCAGTTTTAATTTGTTTTTCGGAATTCAAAAATAGAACGAAAACCCGATTTCACAAAATAGTAAATTCTCACTTCCTAGACCAATATTGAAATGATTGGTCGCAAAACGAAAAATGTAATTTCTCAAACTAACGATTGATAAATGACTTTGCTATTGGACCCGAAGTCGACTAATGAATCGTTTTGCGGAAATTCCCGTGGACGTTCTGTTTTTTCTTGAGATTATTTGAAAAAATTGTTTTTCTGCGCAACTAATATATATATTCCAAATTTTCAGTCTTGAAGGTAATTCAAGTAGCGAGAACACTTACAAATATATTTTTCACGGGTGCTATGGGGAAAATATTTCAAGCCTTATAAGCAAAGTCGTCGTTCAGTTGTACAACTGAGGCCTTGTTATAGAGACACCGAAGCGTATTTTGCCAAACGATGCATTTGAAATTTTGTTTGCATATAGTTAAAATATATATATTTCTTTGGAATTGCCGGCCCCCGGTAATTTTTAAATTTTGTGTCCGGACCTCTGGTGAAGGACATATGCCTGAAAACCTGGGTTTTCGATGAGTAATTTTCGGTTGATACTTCATATATAAACTTGGTTCAATTTTGTCACATTGAGAATAGAATTATATCCCTTAAATAATCTTTGTAACGAAACATTGTTCAATACCAAAGTATATATAATACAGATGCCTCACCTGCCCAAGCATTCTCTTGTGCCACAGAAACTGAATTCAAAAGACAAAGCTGCACCGCCAGTAAATACGCAATATACATTCTATAAAGTAGTAAGTATAATCTGCAATTTATAATAAAAATACAAATTGATATATCATGCTATTCTGGTGACCGCGATTGTGGTCTATAATCTAGAAAATAGCAGTACCGGGAGTAATGGTACTAAATTGATGAATCGTGGTCTTTGCTACTGGAAACCTGCGAATGATAATCAGAATAGAGTTATACTCCGTTTTACCCTGCACAGGGTTACGCTATGACTAAGCAGTCCATATCATTGACGATGTAAACGTTCGTAAATGATGGAAACCGAGAATATAATTAACCACGGAAACATTAAATACCTATGTTTTTCATCGCGCTATCTGTATTTTATGGTGTTAAAATATCAACATCTATCGGTAGGACTAGTAGGTTCATTCTATAGCAACCACCCGCCATTAAAAATCCAATAAACAAAATTTGATAAGCCAATTTATATAATATTTTTCTAATTCTTCAACAACGTGATCTGATGCCACCAATTCTAAATGTTGTTCTATTTAAATAAAATCCAATATGCTTTATTACAAACGTGGAATAAATATTCTAATATAATGCATCGAATCTCATTCTTTCGGCATCGATACCCTATTAAAACTGTTCAGGTATATGCGCCGCTGTAAAGCTATAGTTGAATTTTTTTCACTGGGTGATATATTAACTATAAAGCAATTCTCGCCCGGCAGTACGACTACGAGTATTTGTCCACTGTATATAAGTGGGAATTTTATGAGTAAAAGGTCTCGCGACTAACAAATTCACGCGTAAAACATGGATAATATTGCTGATCATGTGGCGCAGTTCCTGAGAGGCACGAGAGTGTAAATACTGACGTTTACACAAGACTGTTATTTACTGTCATATCGCAGTCAACCAATTGCGTAGATTATATACTACTGCAGTGATAATCGACGAGTGTATGCAGAAAGTCAATAACGCTTGACCCGGGGACAAAGTGAAGCCGACCAGCATAACACCAGACAGGTAACATGACGACTTCCATTCGAAACAAACGGTTCCATTACATTTGAACCCACGCACATTTGAACCCACGACAATTGCACCTGCATACTATTGCACCTATGGAATTTTTTATTTTTACGGATATTTGAACCCATACTTACTCTAACCCGTGTATTTTAGCACCCTCATATAGATTGAACCCGCGAATATACGGGTGCAAATGTATGGGTTCAAATGTACGGTTAATTGTGTGAAGTAGTAACACACTTCAATGTAGGTTCACCTTCATAGGCGTTTCACTAAACACCGTCAGCAACGTTTACCAACCACTAAACGCAGTTCACAAAATAAATAAAGAAGTTACAAGCTAGCGTATGTATGATCGTGACGTAATGGAGTTATCTTTTTGCCAAGCTGTTACTTTCCCACTGTAGGGACACGTGTTTCACGAGGTTTTCACTACATCACTGCCAACACATTTATGAAAATCAGTATAACTGTAAGTGAGGCCTGTACGTCGTAAGAATTAAAAGTAGGCTAGTTCTTCAAGGCGATTTATAACGCTATAATTGTATCTGAGCGAATACTTGCACATTCTTTCATGTGCGCTGGTTACGATAAGTTATTATATATGAACACACAATATTTGATAAAAAAAACGTTGAGTCCTATTTTCGGCATCAATCCATTAAGATAAAGAAAAATATTGCGGGAACTGCGCGTGTGGGTAGTATAATCGTGTATACGTTCTTCTGTAGGAAAATAACAGTTAAGTATAATCTAATTTTGTTGGGCGAAATGTTGAGAAGAGTTTGTTTTGTCATTTTTGTCTTGATTGTGTTAATTTCACACTTCGGTGAATGCGAAGAAAATGTAGAATCCGATACTTTCTATGAAGTTGACATCAATGATGTAGATGACCAATGGCCGATCCGGTTTGGAGTTAAATTTTGGGACTGGGGACCAAAACGGTTAGTTAACTTCTAAATTAAATGTATTTGTCATATATTTGTAAATATTTGGTGTTTCAAAGTATTTAATCAATTTTAAAGTTGGTTAACAATATTTTCAAACCTAAATTATCAGATACAAGAAAATTATCAAAAGCCTGGGTCCAGTTTTCAACACCGGCCATTGGCCAACGTTATGGGAGGTTTCGTCGTCGGCCCCGGCTCCCTGGGAAGCAGACGACGAACGTATGGACATGTGGGTGAAATCCATCTACAGAAATTTGCAAGATAAAAAAACTACGATGAGGGTAAATAAATATTAAATTAAAAGCAGGCTCTTTCTGTTTTTGAAAACTTTTGGAAATAGAAGCTGACATTGTCTTGGCGATTTGAGGTTTGGTAGTATTGGTGATAAATAGGAATGTTGGAATCAACACTGAATTAGAAATACAAAGTTCTGCCGTGGTGTGCAGGCGTCATGGTCCTCTTTTTCTTGTAAATCCTCCCTATTCAAACGTAGGAAACCAGTGAAATCCATAGAAATGCATCAATACAAGTCATCGGAAAATTTCTTGGCGTGCCTGAAGCATACTCCCTAGCTTACCAACAAAAGGAATACAGAGCAAAGAAAAAAGCCGAAGAGGTGAGTATATCAGCAATTACGCAGTAAAAAAGTTTTAACTTCTATACAAATACGAGTGAAATTAGCTAATCAATATTTCTTTGTTTCAGGAAGGGAAGGAATACGATGAAAGTGTTTATTACTACAATACTTTGGATTGGGACAGAAGAGATGATCTTGCTAAGTTTTTTGCGTCTTCTGTTAACATTTCCACATCATTTGGTACGATCAATCTATATAGCTTAAGTCTGCAAATGTAATGTAATGATCTAAAATTAATATCATCGGGAAAAGGCTACGTATGTATTGACTAATTAATAACTACAGACTGCCCAAATTTGATTCTCCGTGCAAAGATTCTCGATTACCATACACCTCACGCTATGTAAGATGTAGCTGACTGGCAACCGGTAAGTGCGAGCATCAATTCAACCCAAAAAGTGATGTTGCCGAACACGCTGCATTCAGAATATGCATAACTAGGCAGTAATCTGTCAAGAGATATAGCCACCAGCCTCATTGTTAGTTCTTGCCGCAGTCGGTGATTTTAAAATCATTTCTAAACAATGGTAATCAGCATTTCAAGATCGTTTTATTTTAAGGTACAAGCTTGCCATATATAGAAATGATCGATCGCCCTGCTATTGCCAGTAAAGAGGAATTGTATGTAGCACCGGAGCAATACACTTATTTAGTAAAGAAAACTCGAGAAGAATTAGATGCACGCGGGCTAACTGAAGATAAAGTTAAAATAATGTGTCCAGGAGTGGACTACCCAGGACAGCTTCGTCCATATTTGAAAAAGTTGGGTATGTTATTTTTATTTATGTACCACTCACTACAACAAAGTAACCCTACAATCTAAATTGAAATTTCAACTCTCATACGTTGAAACACTTGTAGATGCATACGACCAATATCACTGGAGTTGATACCGTACCTCCAGCATAGAAGCGAAATGAAATTATATGTTGGCCAATCAGTCACATATATATACATATTCTTATGAAACATTGAATAATAATTTTGTCTATATATATATCTAACAAACAGCCGAAGACAAGGAGGCATACGACAAGTTACATGCAATTACAACCCACATCCCTGACAACGGTGGATCTTTGCTCGACGTTCAACATATGGCGGAAAAATTGAGAGACGATATAAAAGTATTAAACATTTATGATATTTCGGACAACATCCAAGTTCTGATGCAAGATTAGTATAGTTTTTGCGCCACCTAGATTCCGGATAAACAGAAGTTCGGAATCGAGTTTTTTTTTCCATTGTAACTAATCCGTAAATTGACTCGAATGAGAATACGAATACCAATCTGTATATAACAAGAGAGCAACGCTCATATATACTCCCACGGAGGTCCAATGGGTAGTACCGAGTCTAAGCAATGCGTCTTACTCTAAAATTTGTTTAAAAACTTTTAATTAAAACAGCCATTAGGTATCGCAATTTACATAGGTTTTGTGTAAAATATTGAGCCCCATAAGACTCAAGGAAAATTGCAAAATAAATGTAATAACCTTCCAGCAGCCACAACCATCTCCAAGTACTGAAAACGACAACAGCAACAATTTAGCCAAACGACTCTTAAGACCTTATCTCAAATACTAATTGCAATCCATCCTTATTTTCCATTTTTCAGAACATTTTACCATCAGACTGGGAACCTAAACGTGTAGTAGTTTCTGAATTTTTCTACAACGGTACAGATGATATCGAAGTAGATGGAATGCGATTTAATGGAAATATTTATAAATGTTATGACGATAAATATCAAAGAACTGGTCACATGATTTTAAAAGATTGCCTGGCTCAGACTCCGTGGTATGGTAGGTATCTGCAATATCTTGACCCAATGGAAATTTTAGCGGTGTCGAAATGGCGGCATAATTGGTCTCTACGAAGTGGTCCAATAACCGAACCTAATTCAAATGTCGATTGTCATCCAATTGATCGTAACTGTCAATTACTTAACTAATAGTCATAACCAGTCATAAAAATTCTAGTTAAGATTTTATTTTGGCGGGGGAAGTTGATTGATATTTTTAGTTGCATAAATATAATGCATTTGTCATTTGAATATCGGTTTGTATGTTTTGTGATAACAATAGATTGAAAAAGTTCGGAAATTTGTTTTCTGGTTCATTGCAAAACGCGCAAGTTCAACCACAAATTTCGATTGTTTTACATGAAGTCATCAACTTTGAGTTGTATGTTTCAAAATATTGTATCATTTGTCAAAATCTAAAACATAATATTGCCCAAATGAGTTACCAGTCAAGTGCTTAGTTTCCGGATAAGCAAGAATATTTCAGAATATATATATATATATATATTGAGTTTCACATAACCATTTAAGTATGGGTGAAACATCTTTGCCCAATTCTAGACAATGAACAAAACTTGACATGTAGTATCAATATTGATGATTCACAAATGTAACATTGGACTAATTAACACATATGTACCCGTGTAAAAATATGGAATAACATTATTTCATATAAATTCCCCCACGCCTTAAACTTTTTTATTGAATGTTAATGTCACGTTCGTTATTTACATGATTTTACTGTGGAGGTACATGAATAAGCTAGAGAGAATCTGTAGAAGTCATAGGTCGAACCGAGTAGATAATTGAGATACTTGGCAATCAACTCTGTTTAGGTTTAGAATATCCAATGACAGCGATGTAATTTCTCAGCTTCGATGTTGCAACTTATATGCAAGCAATTGGAAACTAAATACCTTAAATCAATTCAAAATCTGGTGTCAATTTTGTTCAACACAATAATTTCTGCTTTGTTTTAGATTTAAATATATTTCAATTTTTTTCGTAGCCGTGCGTATGTTGGCTGGTCTGACAATTCAGTTATCCCATGGACTTCCTTGGGTTGTTTACAATCAGGGTGCTGATCAATGGTGGGAACGAACGTGCGACGGATTGATAGATCGTGATGAAAGACCGAAGCAAATTTTAGCTGCGTTTGAATCATTACTTCCATACCTGACTAATGGTAAAGCATTCTATCTTACAATTAATCTTTCTATAAAATTATATGTAAAAAAAATATTATAGCACCATAACCACCAGTTATTCAAATATTGGGGTCCCATTCACTCTTTTAATCATTTCTGCGTGAACATTGAAATTTCACAGCCACAAACTACATACTGTTTTAGCTTATTATGTAGTACACTTCTAGTTTAATGTCGATGTTGCATAATTCAATATTTCTATTTTTTGCTATTCTATGCACTTTATGGTTTTTATCTTTATTTCAGAAACCACCCATCATTATTGTAATGGTCTCTCACTACTTGATTTATAAATCATCATTTTAGTTGCCATTAATTGTGTATTCCGTCTTTAAATTTTGTAGAAAATAATCACTTGATCAAATTTTCAGAAACCTATCCAATTCGAAAACAATGGAAGAATACGGATGACTGCTATATCTCCGCTTTCAAAAGTGTTAAATCCAAGCTTCGAGTAGTTGTGGCTGTCACAAACTTCTCCCCGAAAGTTTGCGAAAGAAGCTTTAGCCTGCGGGGGATTGACTTATGGGATATACAAAAATGTAAGTCCAATGATGAGGGGAAGGAATCTCCAACTCGGTAGCTAGTACTCTCGGTTGCCCATAAGATTTTATAAATAGGACTGATCTACAGGTTGATGGCAGATGATTAATTTAACAGGAGAAGCAATTTCAAAATCCGCGACTCACATGCATTCACAATGCTTGGGTAGATTGTCAATTTGTAATGACAGCAGTATATAATTGACATCATCATATGCGTACGTTGCTTTTCGATTTCCATATACAAAAAGTAAACAATGACAAATATCAATAAAATTCATATAATCATCTCACAAACTTAGACGTAGGGAACTAGTGAAATAATCCTTTTATTTTCATATTACAGCAAGAATCATTACTTACAATAACGGAACGGTATCAATTACTGCTAATAAACCATACAGAGCTTTATTAACTGAGAAATTACTCAATTACGACGTATATGACGTGGAAGACGGGGTCAAAACAGGACCAGAAATTGAATTTGACTTGACAGTTGGACCTTATGCTTCGGCAACTGCTATCATAGACGCTAAAGCACCAAAGAGAAAGAAAAGTAAAATCTTTAATACAAAATAGTGTTTATTGATGCGTGTACTTCACATTTGGTTCAAAAAACTTTAGATATTTGCGATTATTGTTTTTGTAAACTATTTACTTATATTTTGTCTACAGAAACTAATAATAAGGAAAAGTCGGATCATACAGAACTGTAACGCACACAGAAAGAATGCATTAAACATTGAACTATACTATATAATTTGCCGAATCTGGTTCGGATTTGAGAAATTTGTCATCTTGTCTGGTTTTCTAAATTAGTATTAATTAGTATTTATTCAGAAAAAATATATCAGATTTCAGAACCTCTGTTATAAGTATTTACATTTTTTCTTATTACAAAATAATTAAATTTCGAACCTTACTACAAATACTTTTTTCTTAAAATTGAGAGTTATCCGAACTATTGTTATTTTTTCGTCAATAAAGCATATCTGATATTGAGTATTAGCATAAATATATTGAATATATGAAACTTCAAAAGATTGAAATAGCTATTTATAGTAACACTTTCTTTAATGCCAGGTATCCTCGCATTACTTTTTCTTATTTAGTAATAGTTATTTAGAACACAATGATCAAAATCATATCGAACTCATTCAGAAGTGTCAAACCGCTGAGTGCATAAGGTCGCTTGGGTGGTATTTTCATTGTGAACGCCTAATTGATCTTTCCGGTTTTTGACGATACGATTGCGGAACATTGAAATGAGCACTTGAAAAAATATTGTGCTGATTGTATTAATATTATATCAAAACGGAAATTATATAGAAGTGACAACATATATGGTATTTTTCATTTAATCAAGATTAAATTGGCGAGAATGGGGCATAGCAGTACAAATTTACAAATAATGCAAATACAAATAATAAAAGCACGTGATGGGCCACAACAAACTGCCCAAAATATGACAGTGGGAAGTGGCACCGCACTATAGTAAATGTTCGATTATACAATTTAACTACTTGTTTAGAATTATAAATTGTATGTGTGGTTGCTACTAAAAAAATAATACAATCTCGATCATGATACATTTCATCAATTTAACGCCAAAAATTAATCCTTACATCAAGGCAAATACGCCACTGACAACGACAGATGACATTAAAAAATATCATTTAATCCAAATGTTTGGGGCTTATGAGTTATCTGGTGATATTTCGTTTTGTTATTAATCCCAAAAATATTCGCATTTCGGAAATTCAATACAATAAACATAATCGAGGTACTTGGCAAACTCACAGGCTCAGTAAAGAGTCTGATATAAAGCTCGTACATCGAAAAACAAAACATATTAATCGCATTATAATTGATAAATAACATCCGATTCTGAAATCCACAGCAACTTGTTTTCACAAAAATGTAAACTGTTCTATTATATAGAACTGTTAATCTAACACTCTGAATTATTGAACAACGCAAGTGCACCATTAAAATTACATTGCCTTCCTGTAGGAGTCCATAACACTAGCGTAAACAAATCAGTTCGCACGAGAGAAGTTACTCAGTATATAATTACTTGCAAATAATAATGATCAGACAATTTGTTGATTCGCCAATATTGTAGCTAAGGTGAAGTATTGATTAGTAGAGTGCTTCCCAAACAGTGGATCTCGTAGCTATTCAAGATGGGTCCTGAAGTATTTCAGAATTTTTCATTCAAGTTCTCCATTAGATCGAGAAATTGTGGCATTATCATTACGTAACAATTATGAAACATGTAACAATTAGAATTATGCTCTGTGACTCGCTGATAATTTCAGTACTGTAGGTAGGGCCTACCTGGTAGGCTATTAGGCAGATTAGTAATTTGTTGAATTCGTGTAGACAGTAGTTGATAATCTTATTTCCAATGAGATGCATTTCAAATACTGGCTAAACAGGGTTATTATACTTTATTTTAACGCCCTAACTTTGTTTGGTTCTTGTAAGGCTGTAAGCCACAAAATGTGGTTTCAATAGGGCAAGAAATGACTTTGAGCCAAAAGCACAATGTGTTTTCCGCATTATTAATATATTTCATTGGGATCAATTGTTTCTTTTTTTTTATATATCATTATCTCATAGTGGGTCGCGAACTGAAAAAGGTTGGGAAACAGTGGGTTAGTTGATAAACAAAATTAGCAGTGTTATTTCTCTTTTTGAGCAAGATTAAATATGATAACGTGAAATATGATCGAAGAGTTGCAAGTAACTACAAGTATTCGTAGGAGATGAATATACGTTCATTTTTGCGATATATAATATAAGTCAGTTGTTAGTTATTGGTTGACATAGGAGAAGCAATAGCTTGCTTATCTCAAACATCCAACATTTTTGAACATCTCATTGCAATTATATATTGATAAAATGAGTCATTTTAGCGCGGAATAAATGCGGCGTTTATACATCATGTTGCCTCTATATGCCTTCATATTTCAAGCGTCTACAAAACGAATCTTTCATTGATAAAATATATATATCTAATAGAAGCTTGAGAGATGTCTAACGCAGTTTGAACGATTTATTTCATTCTCAAGGAAAGCCTGATTAAATCGAAGGGGTATACTGGATCGAATGCTGTGAGCTGGTGGAAATAAGTTCCTATAACTGCCTAGAACAGGGTCCCGACCAATGTTTAAAATCTGGTTTTGCATGGCATTGCCATTCAATTTAAATGGGTTCAAATTAGTATTGTTTACGTCTTGTTGTAAATAAGGTAAATATTGTTTAGGTAGCTCCATCCCCGTTTGAAGATCACACGATAACGAATCCGGGCTTTTACTCCGTATCTTTTTCAACGACTCCTCGAACCCCAATCTTATTTCTTCAATAGAAGGTTTTGGAATTTTTGAATAATTCCAAGGACAGAATAAAGTATCGCGGTAGTTGTTTACTGGCGATGAATTCACTGATTTGGATGGAACAGTTTTAGAAACTGATATTTCGTCTTCTGCAACTGAAGAATGTGAAACCAACAACGGGCCTCTAGTGCTTGGGGAAAATGATTCTTTGCTATAAGATACCTTATTAGCGGTTCCTTTTCCAGTGTGGTTCTCATTTTGTTTGATACATTCGGGTACGGAAAGAAAATGTTCGATTGCTTTGACCAAGTCTCCTTCACATCCTTGTAACACGAGTTCCAAAACCGTTTCAGATTCCATCTTGAAAAGACGTTTTAATATTTGTATAGGTGAAAGTTTACCAGGCCTAAACGAGTAAGCAATTGAATTGGTCACATCAAGTTTGTTGTCACATTTCTTGTCACATGCTATTTCGGATCGCTTTCGTTTGCGTGGATTATCCGCAACACTCATAGTCGTATGTGGTTTGTCACATTCTCTAGGTGAATTTCTTTTTGTAGTAATCTCCCACTTTTCTTCTTCACTACTGTCGCCTTAATTAATGGGGATAGTATACAATAATTTATCTAACATAATTTATGCATATATCAAGTTTGATGCATAATTAAACATTGATTTTACGACTTTAAGCGGCCATATAATGGCCAAATACAACATTCTTATGATATTTATAAATGTTAAATGTATACTATAATAATTTATTTGGGATAACAACGTAAAATTTGGCACAATTTCAAATCTGTTACATTCATGATAAACAGTTCATAACCCAGAATTGCGCATCTTGAAAATATGAAAAACTAGAACAATATGAAATGAATTTAATACACACATAACAATCTTCACTATTTTTTGTACAAAAGACAAACATCATTTCAACATTATGAATATTAAGAGTAGTTATTCTTCCTAAAGAAATACAAGTATTTAGTATCTTCAAAATTGAAAATTATTCGCAAAATGCGAACAAACATTTGTCTAAATACATTTGAAGTTTTTTGTTAGGAATCGTTAGATTAACAAATTTTTTCACCTGATCCCATTATATCTTTCTTCTCAGACATAATAATTGGCCCTGGCGGCAAAAACCCAAGTTTTTCATCGGCAGGAGATGATGTTGAAAGTCGAAGTCCCAAAGCTATCGCATCTTCAGCCGCCTGTTGTCGTTTAAGGGCCACCTGGAACGTAGAGTGTAAGAATAAAATCAGACGACTTTGCATACACCACAATTGGTTGAGGCGGAGTTTCTGGTGGCGTTTTTGAGTTTTAAGTAAGCACATATATATGTTTAAACGAGCTTCTAAGTAGGCTAATAAACTTTTGATTTCGAATTCAGTAGCAACAAAGATCTTTAGGTAAATAGAACACAATTCTGCGACACATTGTATAGAGAAAATGTTGTAAAATCCAAGCATTTGAAGCTTAACTGTTTCATTTATCAGCAAAATTAATCATCTGCATTGAAATCGAGTTAACATCAGGGGTGGGATTCAGCCGGTTCGCACCAGTTCTATAGAACCGTCTCGCGCAATTTTATGAGACGGTTAGCATTATTGGTTACTGTCAATGTTCTGTTTGTAACAGAACCGGCTGAAAATATGACTTTTGTGAAAGAACCGGCTGACAAAAAATTTGAATCCCACCACTGATGGGTAACATGTCAACTATTTTTAATACAGTACTTTACCTGTGCCGCCATAACTCTTTGTCTTTCTACAATGAGTCCACATTTAGCACAAGAGCATTCTTTGTATGGACAATGTCTCTTATGACCCTTAAGCCATGCGATTACACCATGGTTTCTGCACCTCGCACATTTTGGTTTTCTTGCCCCCTTCTCAGTCACTGGATACGGTACAACATCATTCATAATGGTTTCATTTGACTAATACTTATGATGAATATGCGGACACTTTATATTTTAAACACCATTATTTTCTCGCATGCCAACGAATCATTACATCTCAAGCATTCATTTGAATACTTAAAAATGGTTTGAGGGCAATTTTTATATTCCAGAATTTTATTACACACGCACAGAATAGATAAAGATGTATTCAAATTTAAAAGAAAAAATGCCAGAGCAGTCAAGAAAATGGCGTAGCCTACTTCTGAAGCTCTCCAGTTCTGCCATATTGATATTTTGGATACTCAATTTAGAAAATTTTGTAAAGCAAAACGAAGCGTTCGTAGCGGAATTGAATTGCGAAAAACTGAAATAAGTTGACTTAAAACGAATTGTTGGAATTTTAATTATTACTTTAGTACAAAATTGACCCATTGGTCTTTATCCAGTCGGTAGGTAATGTCACTTTGTCCGGTTACGAATGAGATTGAAACAAGGATCTGACTTGCGCTAACATTATCAATAGATCTCATTCCAAAAATTCAGCTGTACTTTACGCTGATATTGAATAAGCTATAGTGCAAAATAAGGTGAACTTTCGCATCCAAGTATACCAATCAATCCAATATTATTTGGCACAACTTCTCAAAAATATCAAATTTTCCGAATATAAAGATTTAGATTTTGAAACTACAATTAGGTCTGTTCTAAGGCCAACAATCACTTCAATATTATGACGCTATTGTTAAATGTTAATATTCGCTACATTGCACATTATGTACAAATTTCCAATAAATTCATGCAAGCAGTAAATGTGGCAATGATTAAAAATTAATACTTTATACGGATTCTGATGAAAACATATGAAAACTGGATTGTTTTGCGTGGATATTCATCATTACTTTATTTATTAAAAGTCTGGATGAATAAAACAATGTTATTTAACAGAAGAACAAACAGATCACTTTAGTTCCGTTTTGTCTTTCATTTCATATTTTGTATTTGGTGAATTAAACAACATTCAAACTAATCATGCAAAGAATTGAGTGAGCTCCCCTGAGTAAAGTATCCGTTACATTTTTGCTGAAACGTCAAAACATTGCGTCATATTGTTTATTGTTTGTAACCGTTACGTCTAATAGTTCACAACAGTCGAGGTATTTTGTCTAAAATGAATAGCAGAACGAGACTCATATTGCAATTCGTTTTCAGATTAAACAGGATTTTTACACTACCAACGTATCATAAAAAATCTTTACTTGTTACTCGTATTTACTTTTTGTAAGTGATTCAAAATTAATCGTCGAGCTTTCCCATTGTTTTCGTGTTTAGATATATTAGATAAATCAAAAATATGAAACACACAAATAAAGTTGTCCTCATCTAACATCTGGCATCATAAGACGAAAGTAAGTGAGGCATAATTTTCAAGAACACTTGATCGGCAGCTACCCTTCCTGTGTATGCTACTTAACTCTGTATCACGGATATATGTACTTATACCTGGAATCTCTTATATTTGTAATTAATGAGATTAATGAAGTATTTTGAAGTTTCCAGTTTGTGGTTTTGATATATTATCCAGTTATTTTAAAATGTATTATGTTTAGTTAAATTTATCGGTTGAAATCTTCAAAATTCGTCATTGAACTGCAAAATTCTGGAGCGTATAAGGGTCGTTAGGGTCGAAGTTGTTTGTTCCATCCGCCTGTATGAAAAATGTCACACATTTCTCGACATATTTCGCTATATTTTTAAACTCACCTACACGCTTTGCACTTAGTCGTAGTTGCACTTAGTCGTAGTTGTAAACGGAAAACATTCGTGGTGTATACTATGTGGCAAAACCACACTTGGCGTTGTATATTGTAATTTTTATAATGACGTGAAAATATACGATTTTATTATTATTTCTGCTTGTTGCATTCGTACCAGTTGCAAATATTGAGATATTGATGAGTATGCTGAAAATATTAATTTTATTTCTACCAGTAGCAAATAATTGTAAATTGTTGTGTATATGTAAAGAACTGATAGTTACTGAAAGACATATAATACTGGTGACTTTGCCAGTGTTTCCAATGCAAAATACAGTGCAAAATGCAGGATTGATTAATATTATGACCATGATTTTGAATTGGGCAAATTCTATTTTGGGGCGGTACATTTACAAAACCTGGTGATCGTTAATAAAATTCGAAAGCATTCAATCAATTTTTTTTATATTTACTCTTCTGTATCGGTTGTTTAAACTGGATTTTCTTACCTTGTACTAATTGGATTTTGTTTGCATTGCGGTTTTGAACGAGTCACCGATATTTTTTACTTTTTCATGAATTACTCTCTATCAACGAGGGCTGATACAAAGGCTCCCTTTGCGTCCGTATCTGCTCCCATTGATGTAAGTGAATGCTATGTTTGTTCTTCAATATCAGAATTGGCGCACTTGGAGCGTCGGGGATACGGAAAATTTATTTTTTAATTTCTATTTCGACTAGAGCATGCTGATATACACTAAAGAAAAATATAATATGGACATTTCCTCAGTTTTCAATATTTAATGAATGCAAACCTTTATAGATACAACTTAATATTATTATACTTTGCAACAAGTGAACAAAGATGAGTTGAAATTGATTTCAAATATTGAGCTTTGAGGATAACAGTAAAAAAAAACTATTATGCTGACTTCATATGTCAGAAATAAGTCTTATTTTTGAGAAACAATTAATAACATTGAAGATCTGGACATGCGTTGCTTTATTCGCAGTATATGTGCGACATGTATCCCGATATTACTGATTTCAGTCCTTACTTGAATTTCCTGCATGGACATAAAAAAGAAATACGTAGGACAATCTTCTTATGCTGATGCTAGAAAATGAATTACGATTACTCTAACACCAACATTCAAATTCGTTCTATACGTTTGTTTACATCACACTCGACCTATTTTAGATTGGGAACACAGCGTTCGGAATTTATAGTTAAACTTGAGCGCCGCAATCTCGAAATAGATAGCTTCCTGAAATTTGACTTTGAATGATTTTCGCTTAAACGATATATAAATTAACTTCCATCATTTTAGAATTGTAGTTAACTGTTGTTTAATTTGTAAATTAAATTTGTTTCGAGCAAGTGAAATTCAACACCAATCATTACCAATTACAACATATCTTTATTTTTTATATTTGGAGAAGCCTTAGCTTTTCACTCAAAGCTAAAAAAAATAGCTAAAAATTGATCAAATCACGCAGTAAAGAACTTTTCTAAGGCTAATATTTTGTTTCAGTAGACAGCCACCGACCATCGCCTGATGGTTCATAATATATATATTTAGGCAAAAAATACAAATCAACTTTCTCATTCATTATCTCTTATTAGCACAATAATTTCGACCTCAAAATTGAAAGTTCACATGCTTCTGTAGTTAATGTGTTTTCATAGAAAGATAAGAAACGATAGATACAGATTAATTCTGTTTGACCTCTTGACCTCCATAAACAGAAATCAATCATTTTTAATTTGCCATTAGAAAGCAGTTACACAGTTTGAATATAACACTCACGGGCTCGGAATAACATGCAATTCTTCAGGAGAAAGAAATAAATGGCGTATAAAAATTATATAAAATGGTGACTGACTGCATCTGAGCACAGATTTTAATCACAATTCGTTCGATATCACTCAAATATCCTATCAGAAAAAGCTTGTAAAGAGTATAATGCTCTATTGATGGAATTAAAATTGGATCAACTCCTTGCTTGGACCCATACAAATCTACACAGCTGGAAAAGAGCTATAGTTAGAAGAATTCTTTGGTAACAGAAGTTAGACATAACGAAGTGAGAAATTCAGAGAAATTTCGTAAACGATAAGAGTATATAAATTATTATTTTCAGGCGTTAGTGATTGGAATATTTAATTATGATTTTATTTCTTTCAAATGAGAAAAACTTACCGAGATAAATGCAAAACATGACAGTTACAGGTTGAACTGTTTTTTAACCGTACACTCTAGATTAAACAACAAAATATTATGGTGATCTTCTTTGAGTATAATACTGATTTCATAATTGACATACGTCAAAAAGGCCTTGCACAAGTTGCTTTTAATAAATATCTATTATATTCGCTTATTTCTTCAGTATGATAATATGAACCATATCGTATCGTATACAAATATTCGGTATTGAGAGATGCGAAATTTTCGCTCAATTACTGCAGTTTTATTTATTATTAAAATACATAGTTCATATTCATATGCTATCGACTTGCCGTCACGTTTAAATCTTTAAATCTTTGCTAACTATTTATTCCTTCTCAACACGTGCAGCTCCACAATTAGGGTTTTGTTTTTTATCATTTCTAAAAAAAAACATCGTGTTTTAAAACAAGGGCTTGTTTTAAATCAATATTTTTCTGTATTTTTATTGAAATACCCCTCGCATCGCTGCGAAATTACGCCAAAACGTTGCGTTCTGGCAGCTGCATACGCTGCCGAAATTATAATTTCAAAAATGTAAGTAAAATTTTTTGTTTTCACTTTTATTTCTATTGCGTACATTTATCGCCACGGTGGTATCTACACGAAAGTCAAAAGATTTCAACCGGAATGTATGTTTATCCGAGATACCAGAGAGACGTTTTGAGTGAGAAAAATCATGAAACTTAGCTCACGAGCCTACAACAAAATTAATTGGATCAAGGGCAGCCTTCCGCAAAACGAGTGTCTTACGATAATGAAGAATAAGCTTACATCGGTAGCAATCTACTGATTTAAAAGATGAAAAGCGCTAGCCTAAGCTAATTGTAACAGTCCCTATATGATGAAAAGACGCTACAACTAATCTGTTATGAGTTATGACGCCATAATAAGGATTTCGAGTTTATGTATTGATATTTTTCTAATAAAATAAAGGCATTATTACGGTTAATACTGTTCGGTTGAGTTATGCTTAGCATACTTTGTTACTAAGGAGAAGTGAGTTTTTCAGAGTTATACAAACTCATTTATTAGATCACATTTCCATTTTCGCGAGGTGGTTTCGTCGCAGGGTCGTTCACGTAATGGCTTATAGGTTACGTCTTACTGTGCCAACCACGTTTGGTGTCGCACTGAACTACATCTTGAGAAGGTGTGTATGGGCCTTTATCGATATTTGTGGCGTTTCGAAGGATTTATTGCAAATAAGAAGCGCTTGGAAAGTTTTTACATTCATTTTCCTTGAACATATTTAATTCAAAAAAATCAAATAGTACAGCCATTTTGAACAATACAGGCAAAAAAAAAACTTGATTTAAAACAATTCTTTTTAAACAAATCCCTATCCACAATCACAACATTTCCAAGGGGGATAAGCAAGCAACTAGTTACACACTAGGTGAGCCTAGTTTTGAAGCATCTCGTGCATTGCTTTGACGCAACCTGCTTGCTAATCTACAAAACTCGTTAGAACTGTTACTACTGCTGTTATCCTCAAATATTTGATTTCAGTTATTTTTAGTTGGTCAAAAATTTATATTTTTATAATGGAATAGAAGACTGAGTCATAGATATTTGAACAATGTCTTCAAGAGAGAGAAACTTGTTGTTGCATCGTTTTCGCAATTCCTATTTTTGGTCGGTATTGTGTAGCTTTGAGCTTTACACATGCGACTTGTGTCAGAATTGACTGGATTTCTGGTACTCGATTTCGCGAAAACAAGGATTCGCATGCATATGAATTGCCGAAAAAGTTTATAATGCTACGGCAAATCTTTTCCTGGTTTTAAAAAGAGTTTGGGAGGGAATCCCACTCTGAATTTTATTTTTCGATCGGTTCTCAATGGCATTGAAGTCACTACCATCGTGCCTGGCTGCTATTTCCAATTACTGTAGTCGTTGATATGAAATTTCGTTGTGACATTGTTTGTGAAAAAAGAATAATCTGCATAGTAGCATCTAGTTTTAGTACACACACGAAAACATTCTGCGGCCCCTTGGCTCGTGATACTCGCAATGGAACCGCTGCGAAATAGACAAATCAATTGTTTAAGTCATAAACTTTATAGCGACATTGTTTGCTATCAGGTACATACATACATATTATATTGATTTACTCATAGTGAGATAAAATTATGGCCGATTTTATTATCAATTTTTGCACTGTAATGTTAGTGTTTTTTAATTAACTGGTGACTTGATAGGCCACCACAAAAATACATGGTAGTTCACTTTGTGAAAACCGGGACAGCGATTTGTCATTTCTATACTATTTCTGATTTTCTGCTGCACCTAAACAATAAAAGCACACAGCAATATTTGGTTATATATATTTTAAGGTAATGGGTCAAAAGTTTGTTCGGTATTACAGATTAAAAAATAGTTAATATTAAGAATGTTTCCGAGTATGTAAAATATGAGGAATACACTTGACAGATTGAACATTAATATTCTAAGTAAGATACAAGGCGTATCACCCTATTCATTAACGTGAGAATGGATTTAATAATACTAATAATATATAAAATAAAATCCCAACATCCCAAGGACACTTTATGCTGAATTAGAAAAAAAAACAGTAAAATATAAGAAAGAAGAGTGGCACAATCTTGATAAAAACACAACACGATCAAACATCAAAAGTAAACAACAAAATGTGTAAAATGCGATATTTTTTATGATACGTAATATTATGAAAAAAGATCCAATCAGAATATGTTGCCATCAGCTGAAGTAAGTCGATAATGGAAAAATATCAGGATTTGATTTAGATGGGTGGATCGTCAAAAAGACATTTGTTTTGTCCATCATTTTTAAAAAATATATTCAAAATCAGCCTAAATTATGCAATTTTTAATGGGAAAAGTCTTGAAGTGACAACAATTTTTAAACTAATTATTCAAATTTATTATTTTATGCTCTCGTTTCTAAGTAAACCCTCTTGCAACTTTTGAAGTAAATTGTAACCAAGCATGAACCAGATGTATCGTTGGACCATGCTTGATAAAGCAACATATTCTGATTAGAAAAGATTATATTAACAACAATATTAACTACAATCATACAAGGACAACACAAAAATTAAAGGATTCGTCTCTCGCGACATGCTGCATTCAAAGGCCTTTCAATAATATATTTTCTGGTTATCAATAACGCACATAAGATATACACGAAAAGGTGGAAATTGATCGGCTGATCACATCAAGTCTGAGCCTTTTACATGAAGCTTTAATGTCCAACGTTTTCAAAAAATGTACATAGAAGTTTATTGTTACTTTTCCAAATGTGTTTTGTGGCATTTCTAGCTACTAAGTATTTGTTTCATCAGAACAGAAAAACCTTCAAATGAATATTACCAGATGCAAATCTCGAGTAAACATCGCCATAACACCCATGGGCAACGTCAGACCTGATAAATTATAAAAGGGTTTAGAGAACTTGAACATGATCAGCAATCAATTTCCATCGAACAAAAAACACAATAACATTAATAATAATAATTATGGTAAAAAAATTTCATCTCATAAATCATATCTACTATTACACTCCGATCGCTTCTAACTAATGACGTGGAAGGGAAAAACACAAAGGCAGCTTCAGCGCCAAAAGGAATCAGTCGGATTGTCACTCGCATGTTTAATCGGATACTACATAGATGTGACGTATGATACTTCGACAAATGACCACTTCGAAAATATTTTTTTTAATTTTTTGCTTTAGCCTAGGTTAGAAAATGTTCTGCCCTCGCCAAATTTAACACATCATTTGAATAATAACTCGAAAAAGATTGCAAATATTTTTTAGTGAAATTCAATACCCAACAACAGGTATATAAATGCGAGGTTGTGATGTCCCAGATTTGTATGACGTCAGATACATGTCATACATACAAAGGCATGGAACTCTAAAATTGTCTAATCTTCCATCAAACACGGTTTGGACAAATTCAACGTACAAACAAGATACATATAGATAAGTATAAGTAACAAAAAAGCTGAATGAATGTGACAATAAATACCTGAAGAAGATCAGGAAGCATTTGAGCTGAATTAATATTAAATGCAATTTAACTAATACAATATTCGTGAAAGCAAATCTCCACGAAAACGTTGGAATAAGACAAACCATATATAGCCAACAATTCACCCTATCATCAATATCATTACCATAGCTTCATTCTTGGCTTATAATTGACAACAACTTAGCCCACTAACGGTATCTTAAAACGCTTGAACAATTTCCTAACCAGACCAAACTGACTTTATACATGTTTGATACGATGTGGGACCTGTCCTTATACCCGAATGAAATGTTCATAAAAGATAGATAATAGCAATTCATAATGTCAAAAGTTACCATATTTATTGAAAAGGATAAAATGGCGTAGAATACGATATAAAAATTGATTAAGCAATGAGGTTAAAACACAAAAACAAAAAAAAATCCAATTTATAGAGGGAAGCCATAACATAATCCAAAATCCAAATTTATTGAAATCAAATTAGCTGTTGTCTTACAATATAACCATATCTTTACCTTGATAGGCATTCGCAAAGAAATACATCAAAAAGATAAAAAAATTGTGTGAGAGCAATACAACAAAGGGTAAATAATAATATATTATAATCAAGAAGGGCGACAAAAGTGAAAAAGTCAAACAAAACTGAATAAAACAAGATTACAGAAAGACTAATAGGATGGAGGCAACTAAATGACAACGTAAAACCTAACCAGTATGTCCTAAAAATTAGAATAAATTCAAGTTTATTCTTCTAATATTTAAAATCACATAAAACATTTCCTAATCATCACAACGCTTTGGTAGTAGAAAATGATAAAACCTTGTCGTTGCCCATGCTTGATCGAAAGATGTTTTGAATCCAATCCATTCTAGTTAGAGCATGAAACACATAACTATCTCTTGGTTAAAAAGAAAGCATTTTCAGAATAACAAAACATGATATCAGTATAATTCATCACATCTAAGGCAACTTCACACTTGGTTAGAAATATAAAATGGACTGAGAAAAATATTCTGCATTCTGCCAAAGCGCCTGCGCCGTTTTGGCGGAGAGCTTCATTTTTAGAGGTTACAATATAATAAAGGTTAATAATCTTCGGATTTGGTAAAACGCGCGTGTCTATGACGCAATTCCAATTACGTCACTCTGACGCAATAATGGCGTGCGGAAAGAGGCAAAGAGGCGGTTCCTCTCTTAGAATCCCTGAAAAATCTCACCCCAGACAAAACACCTTCGGAACAAAAGGGCGCACTTTTGTAAGTATACGGTTAGTCACATGTTCGCGCCCAAATAGGACTTCATCAAGGCTGCTCGACCGGGGCTTCATCTGAAAAGCAGCCGACAGGTAATGTTGCATCGATTTGCCTCAAATTTTCCACGTCGGCACGCAATAGCTCCATCTCGCGGTCGTAATTTTCCAATGTCGCGGCTTGCGAGTCTACTGCAATTTGTAAAGCGTCAATAGATGATTGAACATCGGCATCTTCGACCTCATCGATCAACGATTGCAACTCTCTTTCTAATTCCGCAATGTCGTCTTCATTCAAGTCGGGCAAATTATCTAAAATAAACACAAAAAAATTATACCAATGTATGATTGTTAAATACAATTAAAACAATTTTTTTTCTGAATGACAACAATTTAACAAATATTTAAACTATTTATAGATCTATTTTTTTTATTTAAGATACTTGCGTTTTGCCCATTTCTTTACCAAAAAATGAAAATAATAAGAACTTACCCAAATCCAAGAGGAGTTGACGTAATTTCGCCAAAACATCGTTGACTTTTTGTTCAGCGTTGGTTGCTTTAGATTTGGCGTTTGCGGCATCAGCTGTCGCCTGCAAGTATTCAAATTGAAATATTTGATTATCGATAAAGAAACTAAATTGGAAAATATATTTTTTATTTATTTGTTCTGTCCTAACCTCGTCAACGGCATCTGCATTCGCGTCGGTCTTGGCTGCAGCGTCGTCCAATACAGCTTTTGTAGCTCTGACTTCGCCTGCGAGGTCGTTCACTGTGTTGCTGACGTCATTGATCGTTCCATACGAATCGTCAGCATCAGCACGAATTTCAGCTGCTCTCTGTTCAATCATATCATATAATTAGTTTCCTACTATTATGGTATTAGACACTTGTTAAATATACAACGCTTCTTACCGTTTGAATGTCTTCCGCAATGCTCTGAGCGTTTTGAGCTTTTCCTCTTGCTTGTTGAGCGGTTTTTCTGGCACTTCCAAGAGCTGCTTGGGCTTCTGCCGTCTTAGCGTTAGCTGATGCAATTGTGGCGTTGATGTCGTCTGCGCCTTCCATCGCTTCCGTCGCCTTTTGCCTATTATCTTCGATCTGGTCGTAGAACGCTGAATAGTGACCACAATGTTTACAACAACGATCTTGGCTGAGTAATTTTTGCACATCGTTTTATTAATTAAGGTTGCGCACAAATTCTTTAAGCCATCATTCGCTTATGCTCTTACATCTGCCGAATATATATGAAACAACAATGTCCAGTCTTAATCATATTCTTATACTTGTAGGTGAACGCAAGTTACTATATTGATTTTGAGGGTTATCCGGTGATGATTATTGTTTTAAATATTAAGAGACATTAGTCATTTAATCGCATTGTGTTTCATTCAAATAAGTCATTTCATCTTTATATATCGATAGTACTTAAATAAAGAATAAAAAATACAGATTCCAAAATCATGATAATTTAGGTTACAGATGTTTTTAGTTCTACATTGCAGATGATACCTTGAAGGCGAAACATCAAAGACTGTACCAAGAACTTTTTTCAGTATGTTACAACATATCGCATCATTTTTTACATTTTTATTTGCAAGTATATTGTTCTAGAATATAGCAACCATAAATAACAATCCAATGTACTTGAGCTACCCTTATTCTAGACGAGATGTTTGACCCGGGCAAGAATTTTAATTCGCAACCCACGAGTATCTTTTTCTCGCGTCTGTATTGTGAACCGTTTCAATTTCGGGGCAATTTTTCAATTTTGTGCAATTCTAATGGTCGCAATTTCGACACTATCAAAAACGGGACATCTCGTGTAACGTCAATGGTTCTAACAACGGAAACCGACGAGCGATAACCTAGCACGCATTTATAGAAATACAGTGATGAGTCTACCTGATAGCAAAGGGTTAAGAAATATACACCACACTGTTGCCAAAATTCTACTCGAAACCCTCAAGGTTGCAATTAAGCGTGGACAATATTTGAAGGACGTAATAAACGACGAAATAAACAAAAAGAATTATTAAGCTAAAGATAGACAACTACATACTTTCTATATATAGATGACCTTGTAAATTTGTAGTTCTAGTAGCCAAGTTTAATTAAGTACCTATCAAGTATGGACCGATAATAGAATAAAATATATTTTACGTCATGTTTAGAGGCACATATATGGGTTTCAAAAATATCTTGTTCCATGAGACGTTTGGAGTAATGCTCTATATTGGTTGACCTACGAACCCATGTCTGACAGAGAACCATTTTTGTTTCCAATCTAAATCCCGAGTGCCGTATTTATATTATTACTGGTAAGATATTAAAACAAACAAACCTTCGAGTGATTTTTGAATGTCGAGAAGTGATTGGTATGCCGCATCACCCTTTTCCACTGCGTCTTTCGCTGTTTCCCGGGCACTGTGTGCCTGTGCAGTCAACATGTCAGTCGTCTGCAAGTAATAATCGCGATTATCATTTACTATTTATCATGTGATATACCCAAGAAACTAGTAATGGACCCAAAACAACTTTTCTTATGAAGTGAGATTCTAGCATACTGGGTATACAGAAATAAACATGTACAATAATTATTTAATTCCATAGCGCACAATCAGCCTGGGACAAAGATCAACCATCGTTATTATTGAAACTATAATCCAGATAACATATCCCGAATCTCCACATGATAAAACGACCACATCGCTCTTCCAACATAATACAAGACCGCGCCAAAACTAACAGTCGCTATTCTCCACAAAAAGGCGTGCAAAAAGCGCTATTCAAAAATTTACCATCATAGACTTAATTTGCATTCCGACGGTTGTTCAGTAATGGCAAACCAAATTTTGTGAATGATAACTAGATCTCAATGCTAGCTACCAACGACAAAAGTTGTTGTTTTTGTTTTATTTGTCGCGAAAATCGTTTTCAAAAGGCCGAGAGATTGCGAGTCGCCACATAAAAAGAAGCAATTGTTTGATTGCAATCAACCGAATGAAATTGTCCCTCCAAATGCAATGGACCGCGAAATAAAACAAAAAACGAGAGTTTTAGTTATAGTGAGAATTGTGGAATGTGACGATAAAAAATGGATGTTCAAACCTATAAAAAATCGTAATACAATATTAAACAATGCATAAAAAGATCTTTATTCTGGATTTCAGATTTATAAAATTAAAAATTATGAAATATCCGATTGTTTTAATAATTTTTCCAGTGCGATGCAAGGTAGATTTACGTCACTTACATCTTGCATAGCATCCGCCATTCCTAAAAGTGTTTCAGCTCTGTCGATATTAGCTTGAAGTTGCAAATGTCCGTCCATGTATTCATCATTGAGATCGTTGATCTTGAAACGAAAATAAAGGAAATTAAACCCAAACCCGATACAGTCGCTGAAACAAATGTCATTTACAATGCTGGAACTTTTTTCGGCAATATTATTTAATTAAACATCTAACATGTCTCACCCCCAAGCCAATATGTAGATACACATGTAAAAATCATAAATAATATAAACGTATGATACAACTCCCAAACTTACATCAGGGACGAGTTTGCTAGCGCGCGCAATAATATTCGATGCTTCGATGTCGAGTTCTTCTGTATTATAAGATGGCATTGAGGCGGCAAGTTTCTGAGCTTCTGTCAATAAATCTGTTGCATTTGCTTTCGACTCTGCTGTTTTGTCTAAAACGTCTCCGGATAGTTTGATGAGTTCGTCACGCAGGGCGTTAGCGTTTGGAAGGCGATTTCTGTAATACGAAAAAAATGGATTATTGGAAAATTATGATTATAAATACAAAACCTTTTCATCTAAGAAAAAAATCTAGTACTTCTAATAAAACTCACTCAGTCATGTCATCAAATGTATCGATCAAATCATTCAGTGTTGTGATGGCATCTTGGATTGAACTTAGGGCTTTGTTTGAAGTATCCAGTGCTTTCTGTGCGGTTGATACGATAGACTCAGACTCCTGTTCATGTCTGCAATAACAAGATATAGCAAATGAACGAAAACTAAATGACCGAGTTATTGTCAATGAAATGGTGAAATCTATTTTGTTCAAAGATATATAGCTTATATATATCACAATCTGTGGTAGTCGATTTTAAATCCATGTTATATCGGATGCTCCAAATACGCAGTCTGAACGACTCAAAACTATCAATTGAAAACTTTTGGAGATTATTAAAATCGAATACATAGAATAAAATACAATTACTTACTGGTCAGCGAGGGCATCAGCTTCATCAGCTAATTTTGTCATGTTGTTTTCCTTGCTTAAGCTTTCGAGAGCAATTTCCTTCGCTTTGATGATGTAGTCCATCGCCTGTGAAATATATTATAAAACGTTGTTATTTTGAATTATTTAAATGAAAATCTCTGCGTGATTCGTTGCCCAAGAAATGAAAACTAGAAACTCTGTAACCCACCTTGTCCAGTTTTTCTTTCGCCGTCTCTAGAGTATCGTCGATCTTATCCATTAGTTTTTTCGTTTCTGTGCTTGTATGGTTTGCTTCTTCCACCCTGGACGCACAAGAATCAACGTTGTTTTCCACCGTGGCCACTTTGACAACCAATTCACGAATTCGATCGTTGACCTCGTTTACCTTTTCATTCAAATCATTTCTCTTGTCTTTTGAAGGAATATACAAATATATCGTTAGCGTGAAAATACATTGAGTAACATACTCAAAATTGTTATCAATACCAATGCCAAAACATACCAGTTAAATCGTTGGCTTTCTTGTTTAGTTCAACAAGAGTTCTGTTCAACGCATATAACTTTTGAACAAAGTCGTCTCCCCCATTGACAGGTCTATCTCCGATCGTATTAACCATTCTAGACAATCGATCCAATTCGCCTCTGTGTGTGTTGACAGCATCTTGAACGAGTCCATAACATGGTGGACATTCTGTAAAAACAAGCAAGAGGTGAAAACAAGAAGACAAGACCAGCTAAAAAATTGTTTTAACAACTGAAAAACCTGGTATAATCAAACGGTTTCCATTTACATGAAGTTGGACATTAAAACAGAAAATAACATACCAATAAAGCGTTGCGACGCAAGAAGAAATACTCGTTACAATAAGATGCGGCAGACAACTTACCGATACATCCGCTCGAAATATCATAATAGTTTTCTTGACATTGATCGCATTTCATTCCAAGCACTCCATCTTTGCAAACACATCTGCCGTCTTCGTTGCATTGAAGATTGGAGCTACCGACAGGACTACATTCGCAGACTGAAATGGGAGAATTACAAATGTTGAAAGTTTACAATGACAGTGATAGAAACATACCCCGATGGATCGATGGAAGAAGCCAAATCGTAAAAACATGGAAAAATATACTCACAAGTACATCCGTCTCTTGAGAGGTTGAAATAATTGTCCATGCAATGATCGCAACGTTGACCTGTAACTCCTGGCAAGCAGTCACATTGGCCACCATCCTGGTCACATTTTCCTGTCGTGGCACCCACGGAGTTGCAACCACAAGCTTGGCAACCGGATCCGCTCTTGATGTCCCAATATCCATCCTGGCATTGATCACAATGCTTTCCTAATGTAGGTGCATTTTGTTAAATAAGCGAACTTCATGAAACAATTTATGGAATAATCGTTCTGAACATACCACTTCGAGGCCAAAAATATAAAATTTAATATTTCAGCTATACAGCAAAACTATGATGCAATGCGACGAACAGTTCATTCAAGTACATTATTATGGTTGTTGTGTCGCCATCATTCAACTTTTGCCGCCAATATTATACGTACAGGAAATTCGTCTGTCGGATGACGTTCAATTTCAATCAAAGCAAAACCAAATAGACAAATTTCCCGCAATGTGGATAGCTTTACGTCAAGCGAAAATATTTCGCACACTATGGTCCCGTATTAACAAAAGTGGATGACAGTTTGGAATAAAAACCCATATATAGACTCGAAAAACGAATACTCACCGACTACGTTAGGAAGACAAGAACATTGGCCGGTAACTCTGTCGCACTGTACACCTGCATGACTTCCGAGTGGAAAACATTCGCAAGCTGAAAAAATAAATTAACCTTACTGTACAATCAAGAGATGTGCGTGTACAGATGACTGATTACAGGGTCTAATGTTTATTCAAATTGAAGGTTTAGAAAATAGACGATATCTCCCGTTGTGGACAGATGAGTTACTAAGTTGCGAATCCAATGGGAACCGTTACTAGACGATCATAAAATTACCTCTGCATCTCTGAGCCGGATCGTCAGTGACTGGTTGGCCGTAGTAACCGTCTAAACATCTTTCACATCTCACTCCTGTCGTGTTGTAGATACATTTCAAACATTCGCCGGTGATTCGATCACAGTTCATAATTGAATTAGGATCGATGTTTCCATTACAACTACATCTCTGACAAGCGCCAAGTCCGAGAGGATCACCGAACCTGAATATATTTTTGATTAAAAAATGTTTTATAACAACGATACCATGATAGTATTTCCCTGAAACGTTTTGACAAATCGTTTAAACAAAAACGGAGAATTGTAGATATGCAGATCGTCACTTACCAACCATCCATGCAAAATTCACAATGGTTTCCATAGTGGCCATCTGGACAACTGAGACATTTGACGTTACCGTCATCAGTAGGAGCACAAGCAATTTCGTTTGGACATGGACATGGAACGCATCTTTCATTCTTCTTGTAATATCCAACCATACAGATTTCGCAATGGTCTCCGGCAGTGTTTTCCAGGCACACGCAAACACCTGTGAAAGTGACGTAATCATTGACGTAAAACAGAAATGATACAGTAGAATGGTCGCAAAGACAAACAAATGTAACAAAGACATCATCGACGGTACCTGTTTCGGGATGGCACTCGGTACCGTGACCATTACATTCGCATGGTACGCATGGAGAATACTTTCCACCGTTTGCTGGAGCGCGAGTGTATCCCGGTGCGCAACTTTCGGCGAATCCATCTAAATAACCATCGACTTGGCAATATTCGATCCAATCAGCATGTGGTCCGTTTCCTCCCAATTCAGCAGAGTCAAGTTGAACAGAGTGTAAGTGTGTCCAACCTGGAAACAAAAATAATAATTTTTTCAAAATAAACAAATGAATTTTCGCCGAAAAGATGATAAATTTGTACTTTGCAACTTACCGGTTTCGCCAATTGCCCTGATACGAATGCTTTTTATATCATTCAACATCTTCTGGAATTGGAAGGCGCTGAGGCGAGGTCGGAATCCAGCTGCTTCGTGAAGTCGGTATCGGTATACTTGAGCTGAAGAAGATGGGGCTGGATTGTTCTGATCATTGAGAGACAAAGAAACTCTATATTGATCGCCTTCAATGATGAGATCGTGTCCATATCTTGGAGCAGATTTGAGTAAAATGTCAACACCACTTCCATCAGCATCTTCCAACACTGATCCTGTGTCTGAATCAACGCTCAAGACAAATTCCAAAAACTGATTGTAACTGTAACGTTGCTCGCCGAGATATTTTGCTAAAATATGAGAAATATAATATTTTGAATTACATATACATCGTAGGATCTAATCCAAATTAAAATTTCTCTTTTTTCAAAAATGTGTTTCATCTTTACAAATAATATAAAAACATTTTTAGTGTTTCTATGGATAACTATGTACATCATTTCAATTACACCAAAATTCCAGCGGAATACAACAATCCTATTTTGATATATTCTAAATAAAACACTAAGTTTCAAATGACGAAACACATACCAGGTGCGCTGAAATAGAGACCGCTTAGACCGATTTTGCCATCTCCACTCCAAGATAAGGACGCCTGTTCAGTACCACGTGCATCGACACCTCTCCAATTTTCTTCTCCTGTCAAAGCAAACGTAAATTCGTAAAATGACATAATCATTGTGACGTAATTCCATTTACGGTGACAGTGGCAACGCGCCTGACACGTGCCAGAAGACAGTCAGATCAGCTCTTAAAACTATTCCCGTCGGAAATCGGCGTCAACATGATGCCACATGAAAGGTTGTAAAATATATTCAAAACATTGCGACAATTTTAGCATATGAAGTAATTGATCGATGGTTCACGTGTTAGGGTGCTGATTGAAAGCAGACTTCCCGGCTTAGCACTTTTTCACGTTCAACCATTTGGTGTCTGCCATTATAACACTCATGTACGCAGAATACCACGATTCCTTATCCTAGCAGTAGTAGCAAAGTAAATTTTATTTAATTTCACGAACGCCAATTATAGCGACGTCAAAACCAATATTCAAGCATTGCTTCCTTCAGCAGTTGACAAATCGAAATAAAATTAACCCTTGTGTTGCCTTTCTCGGCCTATATTTGCTAGACTAATGTTATACATATAACGAAGTGTATGTGATTTTTAGGCCGGGATATATTCATCGCATTCATTTAAATTTCTTTACAACCGCTGTTTGGGCAAATTGGGTTAACAAAATAGCGATATCGGTCAACAGGAACAATCAAATTGGATAAGGTAGAACAACACACGTCAAAACGTATTACGCCTTTTGAATTTTGAAGAAAAACGGAGTCGCGACTAAGTCTAGTTCTGATGAAAAATAGAAATGCAGAATTACAGTTTCGCAAAGTATTTCCTATCTCCCCGGAATTTTATTTCGATTGAAAGAAAAATACCGAGGTACGACTTACCGCCATCAAAGGAACTTGTGATCTGCGTTACTGTGTATCCACCAGCTACCTCACAGATTGACGAATGTCCGTAACAGAAACAAGCAGTGCAGCCGTATGGGTTGTCGTATTGAAGATTCATTGTACCTGGCTTACACCTGTTTTTGAAAAAAGTCAAAATTAATTATTTGAATGAAAAGAACATAATTTTTGACACGCTATATGGTATTTTCATCAATTCATTCTAAATACGAAAGAAAGATGCCGAAGCCGTTTACGGGCATGTTTCAATACATTTTAACACAAAACTTATTTTGAGAGGATAAGCTGAAATTGACGAAGACAATGACAAATATCGTCTTTGAAGAAGTTATTTAAGACACCGCATTTCACAGGTTTACGAAAATCAAGTCGGTGGTAAACCACGAGCGGTTCAAAATGGGGTATGGACAATAATAGTATAAATGTCTCTTAGTGCATATTTCTAAGAGGATTAAAACCTTTCGTCGCCAATTAATACTCGTAACCGCAAAAATCCTATTGGGGTTATATAAGCACAAGCTTGCGGTATAGCAAGGTGGTGTCGAAAGAAGGCTCTGATAAACCGTAGAATGAAATTACAATCAAGAAAAATGAAGTGAATATTCGGATCTTGATGGAATTCGGCTTTGCTGTGACGTCTGACCCAGGTATGATGGTCAAAACAGTTTAGACGAGGAATATTGAGTCCTTTACGTGTTTCATAACCAAACCAAAACCAGAATCGCATTAATAACATCCAGCAGACCTACAAACATGCGCCTACTTATGTCCCTTGGGGATACCGAGCGTGTGCCTCGGTTTTGTTATGACGTACTATATTGTCGTCGTTCCAAGAATAATATCAACCGCATTACTGTGATACAGTTCAATGAATTTCGTCTGACAGAAACAAGTATTAAAGTCCATTGAAACATCTGCTGGCCAGAACTTGGAAAGCAAACCATTCTTATTACTTTACAAATATAAAGCAAATCAAATAATACAAAATCTAAATCTTACCTATCACACTGCGTTCCTTCAACGTTCAACTTACAGACGCAATCTCCCGATACAGGGTCGCATACCGTGCCAGCTTCTGTTCCATAAGCCGAACATTGACACATACTGTAGTACAAATGTAGTTCATTTAGAAAAAGGTGTGGATATATTATACCGGACCGTCATTTAATTTTAAACGGCCCGGACATAGGCTGGTTTTATCAACACATTTTATCAAGCTACTGCTTGAAAGAACGTTACGCTTTATTGTGTTTATACTCGAGATGTTAGAATTAGTTTCTTGAAATCCAACTCACGGAATGTCGAGGTACACTCGTTATAAGGTATGCAACACAAATTCAAACTATCACATTTCATCTTTTAAGCCTTCAAAAGTTGACCCATGGACCCCTAATCTCATATTACTATCAAATATTATGAAAGGCATTTTTCGAGACCCAAGCCCCCACATGATTTACTGAATTGACAAGTCCAAATTTTACAAAGTTTCAAGCGTGAAATATTTGAAATCATCATTGAGCCACAACAGGCTCTATATAAATAAATGTTTATATTTGAATTACCTGCAGCCAGCTTCTGACAGACCAAAAAATCCTGGAAGACATTGATCACATTTATCACCACCCACTCCTGGCTTGCAAGTACAAACTCCATTTGCATCACATTGTTCTTTCACTGAGCCTAATGATTAAATTGTATTGTGAATTATGGTTCTAATGCAAAAACACACCACTAATACAAATCGACGAATATTTTTTGAACATGTTTGGAATATTTCACCAGGTAACAGTTTAGGAATGTTAGGTATTTACGTTGGGTGGGATGTAACAATGCAGTAGCAAACACCGAACACATAGATAGATTGCTGTAACATTGATAACGAATTACAATCTAAATTACTGGGGTAGCATTGGTGCTTTTAGGGCAAAACGAGGCACGAGTTTAATTGCACAAATAGATTCATGGCGCCAATTGGACGTTGGTTCAATTTTGCCAAATCTTAAGTGGACAACGAGATTTGCAACGGGTTAAGATGTCAAAATGCCAAGTTGCTTACATAGCCCAGTTCTTTGTAGTACCGATGCTTCAAGATTAGGTTGATTGAATGAACAAAAATAACATCAAAGGGTAAAAGTTATGGCAAGTAGGGTTCCTTTTGTAATGACTTCACAATTAACTTGGGGAGTCGCGTTCAGTGCGCTTCCTCCGAGGCGTCAGCTGACGCATTTCGACCGTGAAAGTGGAACCGCGGAAGAATGTGATTCACGAGTTCTATTACTATAAAGCAATGACGTAAGTCTACTCACCAGTAATGCTGCAACCACATGCAACACATCCGTTTGAAGATGCTTCCCTATAATGATTTGGAAGACACAATTCACAGTGCACACCCGCTGTGTTTTCGTGGCACTCCACACATCTTCCTCCGTGTCCACTGTTTCGATAAAGATCGGGGTCAAACACGCATTTATCGGAAAGTCCATTGCAGTCGCATTCTGAAATCAACACATATATTTTGTGAATTATGAGTTTATGGCATCCCTTTATCAAAATAATTCTGTAGGAAATTAGACCACAAGTTGTCAAAATTGAATTCTGACCTCTCGGCGGTCATTTAACCTCGACGAATAGTTCAGATTTTATTTGAGCGCCATCACGAAATTGAACCATTGGAAAAAATATTATTGTGTTACCTTCTAGTGAACATGGTTTGGCAAATTAGAGCAGCGTATGAAATGCATTATAAAGTACTGTTCAATCTAACAAAATTGGGATGTACGTCTCATTTGAACATATATATACGAGGCGCAATAACGCACCTATGCGGGTGAACATATTACGAATTCAATTTGAGGTAATTTATATGTAGACTGACAACAGTTATAACCTATAGGTTGAATGATACGAGAGAGAAAGTATAGCATTTCGGTGTCGGTTTACATGGCTATAAGGGAAACCGATGATATCATTAGCCAGTCCGAAACGACCGGTTTATGTTGCACTTCAAGTCGATAATTAGCCGGGAAGAAATAAACGATAATTTGGTTTCTTGGTCATGGCGACTAGGTAAATGCAAGACATAGCGAACATTGCACAGTTTACTATGGTATTTTGTATGTTCGAGGTGAGTGCAATTCTTACTTTGGCATTCATGCGCACTTCCGTCTCCACCTCGTCTCCATGGTACATCGTTATAAAGTGGTTCACACAGTTGACAATCATCTCCCATGGTGTTATGTTCACAAACACAAACTATCGTTCCTGTATCGCTCACTATACATTCAGAAGCATGTCCGTTGCATTTGCATCTAGAAGAGAAGTGTTGTTGAATGAAATGCATTTGTCTACGCTTCTGCGCAACACATTCCAAAAATAATTTACCATTAACATGGGCCGCGTTATACATTGGGTAAAACACCTGTTCGCTTTATTTTATGTTTAGTATGTCACTACTCATATGAGGCATCAAACATTTCTCTTTTGGTTAGTGTGGTAATACTGTGATAAATGTCGCCGACAATTCGATTCTTATGTTATTTCAGAAAACACATTAGGGTTTTGGGAGAAAATACCAACAATACCACACGTTTCATGGAATATTAGACAACTTAAATATTCATAAATGACATGTAATGTCAGTAACATCAAAAATCAACATCTCCTATATCTTTATATCATATGTAGATTACAGTTATCCGGATAAACTCATCCGAAACTTAGTCTATGGTTTTCATACATAAATATAACGTGCATGATACAAAAGACCTCTATTGTATATAAATTTGTCTCAGATGTAAATGCTACAAATCGAGGCCACATTACGAGAAAACGATTTGGTGTTAAATAGCTGGGGGCGCAAAATCAGAATTATTGGAAAGAACAAAAGCACCGGATAATGTAACTGTTATCACGATTTGAATCTATCATACATCGAAGGGCGAGGCAAATTTTATTCGGCACGCCTGCGAGTGTATGACGGCCTACATCGCCCCTATGATCAACCAAGTAATATACTTCTCACTGTTATAGTCCTGTAACCTCTGCATCAATACCGTAAGTTTTTTAAATGCGGCTTATTACCCATAGTGTGACATATTGTGGAGATTATTTTTTTCCGAATTTCATGAATATTGTTAATAATGTCAATACTGTAATGTTATACGCTTGCTTGATTTTGTATTGCTGCATTGTACTAGAAGTTGCGATACCAACAAAAACTAAATTTTATTACTCGAAGGCGGTGCATTTTGGCATGACTGAATTAATTCGGGATTTACGGCACTATAGATACATATATTAGTACTTACCTTCCGCCCACAGCAAAATCTGAGATGGCATAATAGTATGACTTCAATACTTTTGAATCACTGAACACCTCATCTCCAAATGTGTTGATTCGGTTCAGAGAGATACGTATAGCGACAGCTGTTACCCATTCCTGTAAGGTAAATTGGAAATGTCAGACCAAGTTGGAAAGGTAAATTGAAATGTATTTGAAACAAATGACCATCAACGTATGTGATCTGACATGAAAGGTTGCGAAAATTATCACTCCCTATAATTTTACATTTTGTATCGTTTTGCATACTTTTACATTTCCCGACAAACCATTGGTAGACAAAACATTCACCACATGAAATAAATCCATTAAATGATTCTCAACAGTTAGATACGATATCAATTCGAGCAAGTAAAACGTTCAGATAACGAACAAAGCACAATAACATTTGGACCAAACATTTTTCCAGAAGTAAACCTAAACGGGAGGCTTGGTTTTAGCGTTGGGCGCCGCGACAACTATGTGGGTGGTTTACTGGCCGGGTCACATATTTCAAGTGGGAAGAATTTCAACGCACATTTCTTAGAATATCGCATACAATGGATGAAATCTGTCAAAAACAATTCCCCTGACCTCCCGATGACGATAATTATATCAAACGTCAAAATTTCCCAGGGAATATAACAAGATTGAAATAATATTTTATCTTAAACTGAAGAAGGTATAACATATACATTTTTGAGAAGCAAATGTTGAAATGTTAAATGTATGGGTAGCTAATGCGGTATTTGATAAATCGGCGAACAATCCGTTATGGCTGACTGCTCACCTGCAAAACGATGCTGTTGTCAAAGTTATATGCACTAGGTCGTCCTTCCAATGTACTGAAGGCGACATTACCACCGGTCAATGGAGAAATATCACTGTAATCTTCCGTGCAGAGGGCCTTCTTTTCGTCATCTACCGTGATCACGTCCTGGTGAGAATTGAAAATAAAATAGAATTAAATAAACAGACTCAAGTAACCCTTGTAATAAGTCACAACTAGGTCGATTCGATTTCAAAGTCGCGATGTGAAAGGTTAAACCGCTAATGTAAACGAAGTCTGGTTGTAGAATGACTCAAATCTAACAATTTCAAACGAGTTTGTCTAAGCATAAATGGCGATATCGTGACAGAAGTTGGCTATATGTAAACTCGTCAAGAGTAGATAGAGTATAATTAAATGAGTATTTGAATGGAATTGTGAGATTACAAAATATATCGAGTTACCGTTATTTTTCAGCAATTGTCGTCCATCGTTTATTTGGGAGTAAACAGACGAAAACAAAAGTTTGTTCAGGACAAAAAAAGTCTGGGGTAATTAATTTTAGGTGAATGTGTAAAGCAAATTTGCGATGGGTGGCGGTTTCTTACAATTGATAGACATGCTTAAAATACACCGACGCTGAGATCACGGTAAAAGTCACGCGCTTGTATCTCTCTCTCTTCAATATTCGCGAGATCGACACGCGAGACTCATACATAATTCATGAGTTGTAAATGAGCACATACCGGTAGTGCTACCATGAATCATCGTCGGGACTGTCCCTACAATTTCATGGAAAATACCTCATTTTTTATTTACTTTGTGCCGAAATAATAAAAACCTGCCACAATCCAAGTTTACGGAAAAATTACAGACTCTCAGCACTCAAAAAATGAGTGCAATAAATTTTCTAACGTTGTATCAATTCCAATCGTCTTTCTGTCTCCCGCGATAACTGTTTATGTGAGATTATTGAAATGGCCGAGCAATGAAAATAGTCCGATGATATTAACATGCTCCAATTTAACATAAACAATATAATACCTTGTTGTCTAATCCGTACGTGCTGTAACAAGTCCCCGAGTAAAATTGGTATGGCACCCAATCACATTCAGAACAAGTCTTTTTGTATATTGTGAAACTTTCTGGTCGTGATGAATGGAACTTCAACCGCACGTATGTAATATCGAATGCTTTACCTGCAACAGAAAAAGTTTTGTCATGTCTACTGCTGAAAATATCATTGCAACTCAACTAGAAGTATTGTGAACTGGTAATTGCCATTGTGAATTGGTAATTGCCAATCTCAAAAGCCGCTCTAACTGTCATTTCAACGGCTGGGACGTAATAAAGGTTAAAACTGTAGATGTAAAGTGGAAGTGACAATGTCAGTGCTTGAAGTCATCTATCAAAATCGGTTTCCGCAGTCCGAAAAAATCTTTGCTTATCAACAAAAATATCTCAGGCTTACAAAAGCGAGGAATGCCGGAGGAATGTAAACATTCTGAGTCAATATATCAAGCTATCAACTGGCTCTAATGCGTTAAATATTGCATTCAAACAAAAACGAAGTGAACATCAAATATTATATGTTCAACGATGGCTTCTGTAGATTATCACTAAATCTAGAAATGCACAACCTTTGGAATATGATTTTTGATTGGTGTTAAATGTTTACTAACAAGCTTGGAACGTCAAACCAATGATTACGGTATGCTTTGAGTCTGTCTCTGGACAGTAACTTTGTACCAAACAGTGGCGAAGCGGAAATGATGAGATTAAGTTAATCGTGTTTTGTTTGTAAAATAAACCAAGATCATACGAAGGAACGCGACCTTTGACTGTACAAGGCCGATATCGAGAATGAAGGTAACACGGTCCTGAATCAAATACATGGCCAAAAGTATCTGACAACGACACAACGATTTGACAAAGTGACTGAGTCATAAAGATATTCGACTTAGATCGTAAGATGGAAATGACTGTTGATATCCCAGCCTATGTAAATACAAGATAAAAATAGTCAGGTCGCCCACGTAAACATGAAATACAATAAGAATATTTTCGGTCATAATTCCTGTTAGAAATTCCCGCATATTTTTGTAAATTAAATTTACGTAAGAGCCCTTTGTTCAATAATCAAATCTGTCATTTAAATGTCCATGAAAGTGTAAAAAGTAAGGCAAACAATATTTTATACCACAAAATTTTACAGCTGTCCAATACCAACAAATATTTCATAGCGACAGAGTTTGCTAATGGGTTCCTCGCCGCACTTTGGTCGATCGCGCTCTTTTCAATATCTAACATGTCGGTATGGCTTTTGTGGTCGAATGTTTACTTTTTGCGTGAGCTCGGCTGGCAACATAAGGTTTGCTTTGGGAGGGCCCATTGTTTCACGACGTAGGCGACATCTGAGTAAAAACTATATAGCGAGATCAAAAGCAGTCGTATATGGGCCACAAAAGAGTGAGTACAAATCTTATTCATCCATCTATGATGTACGCCAAAAATCCTGGAATATTGTACAGGAATTCAATGGTTCGCTGGACCTGTATTTAACTGAACGGATTAAAGCAATATCGAATTGGTGGCTTTGTGATTATTTAAGTTGACCTCGTTTCTTCTCGTATGTCTTAAAACAGTAAAATAGGGCGAGTATCTCACGTGTAAATTCACAGGTGTAAGAAAGTAATGTCTTCAATGTCATTCACCGCTAAGCTCAAGCTTGAAGAGTCGGGAGTGAGAAAGTGAGAAAGCAATGATGCGTAGCGAGGAAATCATTAGAAATTTAACCAATTCTGAATAAATTGCGATGAAGGTAACTGCACATCAAAATGCGAAATTCAAAAAATGTAAGACAATAAGAAGCGTCATAAATACAATATAACCAGCAAACTTTTCATTAACATAACTCACTAACATTGGGAAATGACAGATAACCCAACAATCGCAATCTATGCAAATTATGGTTAATTTATTGTAATCTATTCCAATAAACCGAGAAATGCATTTGCTACTTTTGGTCAGGTCGCATATCAATTAAAAATTTCTAGTAAGTAAAAGTGGTATACCTGAACAAAAATGAGGAAATTGTGGGTTTTTAAAGAAACAACCGACGCGACTTCAGGTGTGGGAAAAGTGAGACGCGCCCCACTCTTCTCTCTCAGACAGCGCGCGCCCAACTAGAGGCGCACAGGAAATGAATAGTCTAGGTTCGGAAAGCTGAGAAGTTGTTCGACTTTGCCTCGTTTCAGCGGAATATACGTCGGTCATTCGCCGTAAATTTGCCGGGTAAGCTCATATGCTACGCTCACAATATATAAATATATTTGCAACGAGTAGAAAAATAACACTGCGAATGTAAACAAATTACTATCCAAATGGTTATTCGGATTATAACTGTAACCGCAACAACGACGACATTAAAATCCTATATTATGGCATGATGAAGCAGAACGAAATGTAAATGAAACCCTAAAAGCGTAGCACTGACTACACGAAGATATTCACTAAAAGAGTTGAAAAATATTCAACCATTACAAAATAATATAACACAATATCTTCTAATGTGCGGTATGATTTGGTAAATGAATCGAAAAAAAAAATACGGACGAAAATTGAAGCATCAATGTGCAAGGAGCTTCATACGCCTCAACAATTTGGCGTCATGCTCCAACAGCTTCCGCAGACAATATGCTAAATATGCAAACATCGTAATCTAACGACGAATGGGCGACTGCAAAAATTACTGAAAATTTCATTGAAGGCTTGTGTATAGAATCCCAAAAATGAAGAATTGGAGTCGAGTATATACATTTTGTTCACATGTAGGAATAAAGAAAATGAACATTTTTTGTTTTTAAAATAGAACGTCTGAATGGAATTAAAATTATTCAGCAATTTAAAGCATATATCTGAGGTCGCGAGTAGTATTCAAATTTCGATCATTTTATACACTCCCCGCATTGAAAACATTATTATTATGATTTTTAATTAAAGCATTATTTTTGCAAAGCTTTTAACTATTATCTGATGCTGTATAAAGCACACGAACAATATAGCGTGCTTGGCATAAGTTTGCGAAGTCATAAAAGGAAAAGGTCATTTGTATTTGCGGTTGACGAAATATAATGCTGTTCAATGAAGTATTAAAAAGATATATATTTGGAAATCTGGTCTAAATCATTGAAATCATGCCATGGTCGAATATCAGTCGGGTCAGGAGGCCCCTACCAAAATTAGTAAATATCTTGTTATTTAGCTTGACCGATGCATTAAATGCCTGCAATATTTTAAGTCATTATATATAGGCTCGGATGTCTTCCGGAATTTGGAATAATTGGTAAATTCATGAAGCCCCATGTATCGATAAACAATATTTTACAATGATGAATTCAGAGACAAACCCATACATAAGCTATGTGTACTCTTAGTTGAAAACCATAAAAGTTGAATATCGCGGCATTCGCGTCGATCTACTACTGTAGCCTACTTGCGTCACACTTGGTTAAAATAGGCTTAGCGTGAGTACAGACGACAAACGCGTGTATGAAGAGGTCTTGCGTAAGAAGTCGTGTGGAAATACATTTTAATCTCGCATTGCATTACGTCCCGTGTGGTTTGATATCGCAGTTATTAACAATATATAATATTGCGGGTAAGATTCCAAGCATGCCAAAATAATCAAAAAAATAATCTAAACATCCGCGACGACGATCCGGCCACCATGGGAATAAAATTGAGGACGTCCTACTTCAAACTTCCTTTTTATAACACGACAGGGGATCACACACCAAAGGATTAGACACAAAAACGACCTGCAGTCGAAAATTTTCAATTAAGACCAAAAACGATCCAAGGATGAATATGAGACAAACGTTATAATTTACATGATATAGCGCAAATAATACTATATGTCTAAAGAAGTCCAAATAGGTCGACTTCAAACGACTTTTTTTCCCAAATATCTAACGTAGTATAAAAGACGAAATTGAGCTTGGTATGCGAAAGAAAGTCTCCAGTTTTGAGGATTGTGGATTTGCTTTTTCATTGACTGGATGCCCCGGGCATTGTTGGTAATACGTATACCACACTGCAACCACATTGGTTGAAATCCTGCAAGATGCACAATTGCGAATGATTGTGGCAACAAATTTTAATGAAGGAAACCCGGCGGCACGCTGTCTCAAATTAACTTTATAATTGTATCCTAGAGAGAAATATAATATAGTTTTCAGCAGATATGTGAATTGTAAATCCTGATATGTGAGTAGCTGTGTACTAGTTATTGCATTTACATGATTGAGTCAAGGTTTCCCAGCGGCTGACTTAATCACAGGTGGTTCACGGATGATCAAAAAATATATTCACATAACTAGAATTATAGACAGTCCAGGTTCAAAATACTTAACGCAGCTCAAATATCTCCAGGTGAACGCAAACCGCTCCCGGTCAATGTGCTAATAATTTACCCAATAAGAAAATATGATCAATATGAGTTCGTTTATATATGAAGAGAAATAGCCTGATATACAAACGTACCAAATTTATATTGCTCACATCCCCCTAGTTCCTAGTACATTAATCCCATCCCATTTAATTATGACATTGAAAAGTAAGCATAACATCCTAACCACTAATGTATGACCTGCGTAACCATGTAAATTACAGAGAGAATGCTGGGGAAGGTTGTGGTCTAGACAAATTCCTGGTTCAAATTTCTAATACCTTAACCCATTCCACACGTCTTAGATAGATCAAACATGTACCGCGTACAATTTGTAATCAAACTACAGATTAATACACTGATTTGAATGTATCACGGGAGGCGTATTATTTTACTAAAAATGGCGCATTTTGGCAGGTAATTGTCGACTTGGTATATTTTAAAAATTGGCAATATAATGCGAACAGAAGCATAACTGATTATAATGGGTCCCAAATGCCGGGGTGTGTAACCGCGAACCACGCAAATAAATTACCCAACACAGCCTTATATTACACAAAGTTTACCAGGCGAAATTTCAAATGACCTTACTATATATTTCTGACTGAAGAAGATTGCTTGCATGTAACACGCACGGGAACCAAACTCATTGAACAAAAACGTGAAATTACCTCTGAATTCCAAAAAAATCGGAACAAAAGTATGATTTTGATTTTGCCTATTCATTTACAAGTTACACTATTTTTGCAC